ACGCGACGAGAAGCGGGACAGACATTGAACGTTATCGAATGCATCGCGTACTATCGTCGCGGCGAACAGGGTCGCGAACGGGAGGTCGGCTATCCTAGAACAATGGGTGGCTTATTTTCGCAGCGCTAAATCCATAATCGCGAAAGGGGGTCCTATAATTTCGTGCATAGAGTTTACTGTTCTTCCTGGCGACGACAAAGGCAGCCACATACTTTCCGTTACGGTCATAAACGGAGCACAATGAGCGGGGTTAACTAGCTGCCTGAAAGTACATTCCGGTTCTGCCTCTTCCGAGACTGTTAAAGCCACCAACTGATTTTTGTACCGTGACACGAAGTTACTTTTCTACGAAGTAGAGGGCCCAGTTGCTTCGTCTCTTCCGATAAGATCGAAGTAGCGTAGATTGTTATTTATTCGCGGTTATTAGTTCAAGAGAGAAAGTTGTAAAATTACGGTGATCAAGATCGCGCATTGTATCGGTCTTAAATTAATTTTAAAACAAGAAATCAGGCTGTCTCTCTCTCTCTCCTTTTTAAAACTTGCAACTTGTGAATCACAGACATTGATCGCACGAAACAAAAACTGTGTAATTAAAATTATTAATGTTAAATTAATTTCTCGCGATATCCATCAGTTAGAATCGCTATGTGAAACGGTTGTATACGTATGTATATGTGCAATTGCCGTATCTTATTACGAGTTAATGCAGTCGAGAACGCACGGTCAACATGTACTCGCTTGTAACACGTATCCTACCGGATGTCATAATGTCGTTCGTCTTATTGCAAGCAACATATTAATCGTCCACTTACCAGCTATCAAGTGTAACGCGACTCGTATTAAAACATATTATATTAATGAAATAGGATCACAGATACTTCGGAGACGATATATCAGTCACTGATTTCAATAAACTTCTTGGCACGCATTTTGTCGTAATAACAAACTCTTGTGAAAATATAAGTGCAAATAAATATAGATAAAAGAATCAATTAAATAGACTGTCAATTGATCTCGTATAATCTAGGACAAATGATTTGCTCGATAGCGGTAGAGGGTACGAATTTTGCCTTTATCTTGAAGAAAGTTGCGCGAGTAACACTTATGATCTTGTTATGTATAATCTAGGACAAATGGCTTACTCGATAAGGAAAGAAAGTACGAATTGTGCCTTCATCTCGAGGAAAGTTGCACGAGTAACACTTATGACATTGATAAAGAGCACTTGAAGTCTGAAAGTCTTATCAGTAAATATCACTGCGCATTCATTTTAAGTTCCTACACACTCGCACGAAACGTGAGAGGAATTGTGTCGTGTCGCTTATATAAATTTTGAAAAATGCACATTTCACGTACATTATGTAAATAAAAGAAAAATTGTCTCGCGCTTGCAACGAAAAAAAGGTCTAACTTTATAAAGTAGCATAATTTGTCATTATGTGTACGAGTGGCAAGGATAGACCAGCGAAGTAAGTTTGATAAAACAGTGTGTTATTCATGGAGACTCACCTTGCTCCACTTTTATCTTTCGTCGCAAGACGCACTGTAGTATTTTTTTGCATACGAGTTTTAATCGCACGCTTCATATACTCATACGCTGAACATAACAAAGGTACACGATATGTAAGACTATCACGCAGCTGATCACTAAAAATCACGTATAATATTCAGAGTATGCAGCCACAGAAGTTAAACAAATTGCAGAGCATGCATATATAAAATATAAACGCGGATTCCTTATATCATAAGTAACGTTTTGGCCAAAAATTAAATACGTTTTTCCCTTGACAAATATATTTAGTTAGGTTGTTATTCCTAGCCCATATTTACACATTTTAGGATTAATATAATTGCATTCTGGATTAATTAGAAAGATATCGAAAAATAATACTTCAAATATACTGCCATAAATTGTGCCAGGATTTATCATCAAATATAACGTGTTTTTTTTTACAGCCGCGTAATTTGGAATATATACAAGATGTAACAACAGGACAGGCTCTCATTATGGAAGAGAAGAAATTAAATGCTAAAAAATTTTGTCAAACTTACTTGATTAGAAACGATTAGGGAAATTTCTCTTGCTGAAAATCTTGTATATGTTCTATCGTATTTTTGGGACGGGATTTTTGGAAAAGAAATAAGTATAATCACATGACCGGTCTATTATTACTGAATAACAGAGATTATAGTAAAAAGGATGACGAATCTGCAAACTACAACGGCATTATAACGGATAAAAAAAATTTTGCGAAAGCTCAGAGGAGAGACATAAGCGACAAAATGACTCAAGACATCGCATACAATAGCAGCATAACGTTTATTAGCACATGAAGGATATTATAATTGCTTAAATTTAAAATGTAAATATATCGCGCATATTTATATAATTTTATATACGTATACACAGAGGTTGAGCCATTATAATATTTGGACGAAGCATTTGACGCAAAATAAAATATTAAATCAGTCGCAAAACAAGATATAATATTATCAGACCTAATTCAATGTATCTCAGATGACACCATCTCTTATTTTAGGATCTCGTGATTGTCCCTAAGTATATTTGAATTATAAAAAAAAATCACAGAATTGATCACAATTTAAGTTCGTTAATTCATAATTAATTTGCAATTAGTATGCTTGAAAATGAATAAATAGATAATCGTATATGTATGCTGCATGTATATCAATTAATATGTATATAATAAAGATAAAAATTATGCAGTTGATATTGTTAACATTTAATATTATCTCGTAAGATATGCCACTTAATTGGGGAGAAGACGTACTATTCAGGTTCAGCAATGTTGTAGAGCAGATTAGTACACTCTGGATATGTATATTTAAATATCGTATACTCATTTGAAAAAAAAAGAAATATCAAAATGAACTATATCTCTAATATATGTATGACTCGATAAAAATACATGGTGATCCTACAATACATACAATTTACTATATATAAATATCTATAGAATATCTTTATTCAAATATATCTATTTATATAATTTCAATTTGAAAACATAACAAAACTCTCTTCTCTGCGATATGATTTCCAGTCTTTTCAATCCTTAATCTCAATTCCTCTCGAGCATTTGTAGCCTTTTTCTTATATAATTATATAAATATCAAATATCGTGAGATACCAACTACGCATTATATACAAAATAAAACATTATAAAATAATTTAATTTCATTAAATCCTAATAACGCGAGATAAATGTACAAGGTCGTACATAATATATATTATTATTTTGTGCATGTAATTAATTATTGGGATTATTAAATATCTCGAGAGAAAGGTTTTATTTGTGCGAACAAGTCTCTATAGACTAGCTGTGTATTCATTACTTATATCAAGTAATATATAACGCAATCGAAATCTGCTTTGTCCCGCATACATCGCTGACATATTGAGGCGAAGGTAAAAGGTGGAAGAGAGATATGTGATAAAGCGACTATCGATATGTATACATCGCAATGCTATAATGTAATAAGTATACAATCTAAGGAACTATTTATGTTTCTTTTGCTTCTAGTCGTAGCATGCGCAAAATCCCTAATATTTCTAACGTTTCTACACGACGAACAACTCTGTTTTCGAAATTTCTATCGTTCGCTACGGAGGACTTCGCCTAAATCCATTAGATTAACCGGGAATAACTATCGATAACATGGAGCACCGAGCTAGCCCGAATAACGAACTCGGATCGTTAGCTTTTTGCACAACGATTGTGCTTGCGCGGCACGTCTTTCGCTTTGCGTCGGCAAAGATTGAAATCCAGAACCGACAGATTTTATTACCGTAGGAAAACCGGGGCCGCGCGTTTCGGGGAACAGATGCGCCGAACGTATATTCCAAATCGACGCCGCCCAAAATCAAAGAAAAATAGAGCGAATTTCGATGAAATAGATCACGAACTACTACCGATCCGCCGGGACACGACCGACGAAAATTCGGACTTCTTTTTCGGTGTTCCTGACGCTAAAGTACGTCCGGCTCGATCAAGCCGAAGAAGATCTACGTCGCGCACTGTACAGAACGTTCTCTCTTGTGCGGGGGAGGGTGGGGTGGGGGAGAAAACCACCCCGTGTGATTTATCTGTTCTTTCGGGAGCAGACTCGGAAGGTTCGTTTTGTTACGGCGTTACAAAAGGGCGAGTGTACGATGGGATACCCCTTAAAATGGCTAATGGAAATATAAATAGCATTTTTATTGGATTAAACGTCGTGTGGATACACATGCACGTAAAGTAACTCCGATACTTGGTAGTTTGTGCACAATGCGCATGTTTCGTCTCTTACGAAGACGGCGAGACTTGGGTGATCAGTTGCACGTACCAAACTATTATTAGAATAAATTTTAATTGCCAACCATGTGTATGCACACACGCACGCGCACACAATTGCCGTAAAAATATATCTTCTAGATATACTGCGTTGCGCAGACCAGCTGCTCCTAACATATTTGCACGAGTAAGAGTGAGGTCTGTGTGTCGCAATCTTCTTTACGTCCATATACCGATAATGAAAGCAAAAGAAGAAAAAGATGAAAAGGATGAAAATAATAGCGATTCCCGTCCTCGTGCCGTTATTACGTAACCTTCCGGGTCGCGATATAAAAGTGTGCTGTTACACGAACGCCATGAGTAAATGTTAATGTCGATAACAAAGAGGACGAAGGTAATTGAATACATACGTAAAATGATTGTAGCATCAACACCATCACCTTTAGGTGACACTATACATATGTACAATTCGCCTTGTAGCCTTCCACGTAGCCCGTTTTCAGCAATGTAGCACGAGTCAACGACACATTGCGTACTTAAACGGGAAAAGTCGAGAGACTCGCTTTAGAGTGCATGTCCCCCAATCGTCGCGTTAGCGGTGTTTCAGACAGACGGTAAAAAGACAGTAACGTAACACAACGGTTATGCATGTACACGTGGGCAGAAAGAAGCGTCATGCGGTGCAGCCAAGCGTGCGTTGCTGTTTACCTGCGAACGGCACGTCGCCGAAGTATTCCTCGACATTGTCCGTGGACATGCTCTTGTCGGACAGCGATACGCTGGAGAGCGAGCCGCTTGACGCGTTGAGTGATCCACCGGTGGGAAATTGCAGCAGATCTTCGTCCGTTTCCGTTTCCATGTCGCGGGATCTTCGCTTGTACACCTATTGACAAATCAGCGCCATTTGAAGAGGAAGCGAGACTCCTCGCCTAAAGTACACGCTACAATATTGCAGTAAATACTGCGGGAAAGAGCATTTCTGACGCTTCGGTTTCCAAGCCTTCAATATCTGCCCCCGTGAAACTCGTACTGATCATGTTGTTGGATTTATGGCAGTTGCGTTTTACAATTTGCCCGCGACCACTATTACTCTGGGCATATCGCCGTTATCACAAAATTGTCAACATTCGTATTTTATACACGGATATTTACAGTCGATATAAAAATTCCCCCGTGAGCCGCGTCGCGTCGAGCCGCGGCAAATCACACGATGGAAAAATGAAGCCAATCCTATCGCGATGAAAATTTATTGAAACGAAACGTCCGCGCGCAGGCACGCGAGAAATATGCCATGTAAATCGGAGGGAAAATAAATACGCGTGGTCAACCTAAAGCATATTTATTTATTCGAATAAAAATCTATACCTTTTGACATTAATTCTTTCGATTCCGCTGACGGCGAGTCATAAATGACAAATATAATATGATTTTTCCAGCACTCTTGAATTTCATGATCCGCAAAGAATTATTGCTGCAAATATTGCAATGGAGTTTACATGGGAATTACTTTATACATCGAAAATTATTTTTATTTAAAGAGAAACGAAAGAGAAAGAGAGAGAGAGAAAGATGAATGTGAACTGAAGATGAAACGACCTTAACACCTAAAATGATTAGAGTTACAGCTCGGTATAGTTTGTACGGATTTTAATTACATATGTGTATTTTATGAATTTTTATATGCCATGTTATGCTAATAATAAGCCACGACCAACGGTCAACGTAACGTCATTTATGTTTAACAGCGGGGCACATTAAACCACCGAAAATTGCGTTACCGCCACTCAAAGAGACCTCGCATTTTGATTTACTAAGTGCAAACTACGAAGCGCGGCAAGCTGCTATTTCATCGCGCGTTCCAGAAAGGCTCTAACGCAATTAAAATTTGACGTCAGAGGCCCGACAGACGCTCGCGGTATCATCTGTAAAACGCCGAGAGCGTCTCGAGGAGACAGCCGGAAACCGTCGCTACAAATTCGTGAATTTCTCTCTCTCCTATGGCAACCGGAGAACGAGCGTTCGCGAGGCGAAGTCAGACAGGCATAGAAGCCGAGGGCTTCATTATTCAAAGGGTGTCGGCGTCTTGCATTCTGCCGCTCTACTGGATTCGCGGAAGTTGACGGGTGAGAAGCAACCATCCGTAGAGGGTTCTCCCATCTCTTCGTCCTTCCTCCGACAGGTTCACGGAGACTCTCTGCCTCCGTGTGCCGAGCGCGCTGTCTTCAGCTGCCGTAATAGCGTTCGATCTCCATCATCGAATCATATCAGCTGCTCAACGAATTGAGAATACTCGTACTATCGTGACTCGACCGACGAACGTTGCGATATTAGTCGTGTAAATTGTGCGATATTAGCGATATTAACCTTCGCTAGCTCCTACCAAATATCTTGCCGATTCGATTTCCCAACGCGTATCTGTCTCATCCCGTGACTCGGATCTTCGGAGCTTATTTAAATTGAGAATCCGAAAGTGTGCGGAATCGCCCGATAGTCCAATGGGAAACGAAGGATTTACAACTCATCGACTACCAGGGAAGGATGTACGAAGCACGTTACGAGAAGAAGGTATCCGTGTCTATCAAATAGACGATTTGCATGATGAAGACATCGATCATCTTCCAAGCAAGCGACGTTACATGGTACCACACCGGCTGTACACATGAGTTCGCCGTCTTCGCCGCATTCACCGACTCCTTTCTGGATATATTCACTGTGTGATATTTCGTCAAGCGTGTATAGCCGACTGAAAGACACGGATTGCGAATGCATATAGGGAACGGCAGAGAGAAGCTGGGATGGATGGCGGAGAGATACCGTGGAAAGAGCAAAGAGAGTCAGAGAGAGAGAGAGAGAGAGAGAAAGAGGGGGAGGGAGAGGCAGGAGTGCGCTGGAAGCTGCGTCGTGTGCTATGGATATCCATTCGCGGTGGATGGGAATTGAACGTAGTCGGTCTCACAGCAGAACGATCATAGGACGACGCGCAAACGGCAGCAAACGAGCGGAGGCAGGCCGAAAGCAGCGGCGGTGGCGGCTGCGAGCGAGGCGGAGGGACGAATCCTTGTAAATCGCATCACAGATCAAACACAGCTTGTATATTAAACGTAACCTGGTAAGACGCCACGTCGACTGCTTATCTACTGTCCAAGGCACCAGGTCAAGTGAGAGCGTTAATGGCAACCCTTAACGAGCCCGCGCTGCCAAGTTCTTACGTCACGAGCGGCTTAAAGGATCGGCAGTTTCGCGTAACCCTCACCCGCGCGTCCCGCTGAGTCCCCACGTTCCGACGCGTCTTTAGCGGTGACTATATCTCCGCTATCCCTCCGACATATGAGACGGATGTACGTGCGTATAAACGTCTACTGATTGCCGTACTTCCGAGCAGCAGCCGAGAATGCAAAATTGAGCGCCGCCGTTGCACGCTCCGCCGGGTGCCGCGCGACAAATCGCGGAAACGCTCCCATTTCAGATTGCTACCGTTTGAAACGAACTGCGGAATTCTCGCGGGGAATCGGGAATCCCGCATGCACGCTCGTACGAGTTAATGCGGGGATCGGAAGCGACGTTAGTCGCTCAAGAACCATCCGTCGATTCATAACTTGATATGATTTTCGAAAACAACTTTATTTTACAAAAACAAAGGTACGATTTTCTCTCGGAGAACTCCATAGAGACGCACGAGGAGCAAGACAATCGCCGCGTTTCTTTCGACAATCCGATAAGCGCGGCTGAAAATTGCGTTGCTTCGTAACGAGATATTATCGTGCAGCGGCCATTACACGTTGCTAATGACCTGCCATTAACTGCCCGCTATCTTTTCGGCATTACACATCCGTCAACACGTTGACCTCGCGTCGAGTAATAGTCGCCGATACCACTTACCTGGCTCAGCGGACGAATACGCTCGTGGATGGACTTTTCCGCTTGCATGGCGGACGGCGGCGGATGATCAGGGGTAGGCGGCTGAGCGTAATGCGTAGGGCTGGTCGGCAGCATCATTTGGACGCGTTTGAGACGCTTGTCGGTGGCCTCGCGACCCTCCGACGCGGACTGTCCGTCCGCCATCTCGCGCCTCTCATCGAGGAGACTCTCCTGGGAAGACTTGAGGGTGAGAAAGGCGCTCGATACGAACGTTTGCTCCTGGATCACGTCGCCGTCGCTGCACGGTGATTTGTCGGTGCACGAGCTGTTCTCCGGCTCGTAGTTGTCGTACGCGTGCCTACGCAATTTTCTTCGCGGATTCAGCATCTTCATCGGCCGGTTCTCGTAGATGGACGTTATGGCTACCGGCTCCACGCCGGACTCGCGTTTCTCATCGGTCCCGACCAGCCGCGACTTCATCTCCACGTACTGGTCCACGCTTCGCGTAACGTGTCGCAGCTGATCGCGCCGTTTCTGCAGCTGCTCAAGATCGATGTGACTTCGCGCACCGCTGCGCGCCAGGAACAAGTACTCGTAATTGCTCGGCCCTACCGAACTGTCGGCCGACAAAGACATTTGCGTTTGCAGGTGCGTCGGGGATACCGAGAGATTTCGTCTAGGCGGCTTCTTGGGCGGCGTCGGCTGCGGAAGAAGAAGCGAATATTTCTTCGCGTTCGCGGAGACCATTCGAGTTATCCTCGCGTCATAAATATTCGTCGCGTCACAAACATTGTCAAGAAATTTAATTGGCACGAGCGCGCAAGGCAATGTTATCTCTCCAATTTACGCCGAGAACATATTATTCGTGTCTCTGGATATTTCCTCACAACTTAGATAAACCGGGGACTCTTACCGAGACTTTATTGTTGGAAGCGGGGCTGTGTAGCGAGCTGGACAGGGGTGCCATTGGCAAGTAAATCCCGGCAGCGCTGGAATCGTTGGGCAAACAACGACGGTCCCGTGGGCTCGGTCCGCCGACGCTCGAGGATGACGATACGCTCAATTGGTCGGACTCTCTGCCCCCGTATCCCGTGGGCAATGTCAAGGACAGGTCCTCTGATACGAAGCTACCCTCCATTGTGCCGCGTGGCACGGGTGGAGTTTGGTACAGTCCGCTGTCGGAGCCCCTGTGCAACCAAAACTCGGGGTTTCAGCGGAACCAATCGGCCATCTATTACTGGTCGATGATAAATCGACCCGATAGATCGAGCACGTCGGAAACGTACGCTTCCGCTCGATTAATCAGCAAGAAATACAAAAACTTCTCACGCCGTTACATTTTGCGCGCTAACAGCATATCTCGGAATTGTAGTATTTGCGTCTCGAGTATTATGCAATATTCTCTAGCAACGTCAAGTACGCGTGAATAGTTTCCGAAAGATACGTTCTACAGACGAGTATACATGCATGTAAGCTACTCTAATCAAGACTACCTTCGGAAAACGTCGATTCGACAATTACGAAGTATTCATGTTGTTTCTAATGCAACTAATGCAATGCAGAATGTTTGCGTGTCATTACCGTGTAGTGTCGAATGGTAATGGTGTTCTTTTGGTAGTGTTTTGTGGTATATCTTCAGGAGTTTGGTCGGAACTTTCGAGAGTATTTATAGAGTTGAGAGTGTCGGATAGGGACATAAAGACGCTGTCGAAGACGGAACTGGGGTCGGAGTCCTCTGTCTGCTGGAGGGCCCTCCGTACTCCGTTCACCGGTTCCCCGTTCTGCTCGTCTTCACTGAAACGCGCACCCCGGTACGTCAACCGTTATCGATTAGCAACAATTAACCGCACATCCAAAGCCAAGCAACAGAATATCGTATATCGACTAAACTAGAATAACTACTATCCGGTTATGCCTCGCTCACTGGGATTTAGACAGAGTTTTTATCTTATTACGCTAATGTTATTTAAATCGTGAATATAACGGTGTGCTTAAATTAAAATACTCGCGAGAGCAAAAAGTGTGAAGATCGTTACACATAAGGATGTAGATGTAAATCGCGCTATAGAAAAGACAGCTGCTTCCATTGACAAAATACGGTTCGGTTAAAGACATTCACAGGCAAGTGCCGACTTTTTAATGAGGCCACGTCGACGAGAACGAAACACGACGAACGCGGGAAAGAGAAGCGAAAAAGGAGTTTGCGGCCCCGGGGGGTTGCGGAGGCCACGCGCTTGTAACACGAGGGAGAGAGCAATGGTTATTAGTTTTATGCTGAGACGGGCTAACATTTACATTGTTTAACGTGATGGATTCATTTCGAGGCGGCCAAGCCGGGGCTACCGACGTCAAACATTGATGGTGGAAGTGCGGAACATCAACGGGAGCAGCTCCCACATTCTCTCTGCTCCCTTCTCCCTCTTCCACACGTACATATTGCGTATCCCTCTTTCTCCTTCGTTCGCTCCCTTGCTCTCCACTTTTCCCTCATCGTCTCTCTATCACTCTATGTCTTCGTCTTTCTCTTTCTCGCCCGCCGTACCCGAGCCAACCAGTCGGGCTTAGCAGCTAGAGCGGTAGCACTGGCACAGAGTACCAATGGGGTGATGCAACGGGGGTGACCTAGGGGCGAACGAGGCGGTCGGACCCACCATCTCGCCTGCCTACATCAGGAAAATTAAACCAAGCCAAGCGGTGCTTAACGCGCTGGGGCTACACGCGGCCGTGCCACCTCCTCCAACCTCTTCCTCCACCTTCGCGTTTCACCCCCCTGGCACCGCCCCATATTCAGGTTCCCTTTTCGGTTCGAGAACCTCTACCTACAACCTTCTCCACCTCCTACGGATACCAACGGTAGGCAGCAGCGCCAGCACCAGCCGTCATCATCCCGGTGCTTGGACGGTACTCACTCATTCACTCCGCGCTCCGTCCACGTCTACGCTTTTGTTTGTCCAACATCTTCTATATTAAAGCACAGCCGCAGCCGCTGTGCGCGCACGGAGCCTTTTTGCAAAATATTACGAGCCTCCGCGCTTACCCGATCCAATCGCGGTTTTACTTTTTTTCCCCGAGGGCTCTCTACGAAGATGATCTCGATGATAGAGGGATACTTTTTCACTATATTTTACGTGCCAACTCGCAATCCTCTCCAATGATTATTATACATGAGAGTACACGTGTATGAGCATTCTCGATATACCTATATTACAATTTTCCTAGTGTAAGAAGTCTATGTAATTTGTGTCAATAACTTTTACTACTATACACACGCTATCGGATGTTATGCAATTTGTTTTAATGTAATAACGATACGTCGAAATATTCAAACAGTGCAACACGTCTTATCCAATCATGTACGTAAATAATTTTCTCATAATATTACACTCATGTAAATTATTGGCTACTACCGAATTAATATCACGAACACACATATTAGTTATACTGGATATTACGTACAAGCATGTGTCATTATCACGACATCGCAATATCAGTGGGGAGAAATAGGGGTGTACGATGTAAAAAAATATTGCAACGCACACATGCAACATACGTGAAGAAAGATACTCACAAGGACATGACGGAAGTGCCGGAAACGCGACGATCGTCGTCCCGAGGCTTATGATAGAACTGCCATTGAGTAGGCGACGTACCCTCCGCGGGGGAGAGATCATCCTCCGGACGAACATTTTCGTAGGGGCTGCCCAGCGAGTCGCCACCCTGCACCGGAATCGGCGGCAAGTTCTCGCTATCGGCGTCGCTTTCCACACCGGAGGAAGACCGGTGCCCTGTTACGAAATCGACGAGGGTATTGCAGTTACGAACACTTGGAGACGATTACAAATACTTTTCAACAAACAGAGCTATAACAAAATCGCGTATGCCGTAGCAGCGAGCGAGAGTGGAAATGCAGCAAGGAAAATTCAAAAGTGACCTTTTTCCCGATACTTCTAATCTGTAGCCGTTTTAAGAATGAGAATTATCGCGGCCGTCGTCACTGTACGATGTAAGTGGTAAAAATTATAAACGTGTCGTTTCATTATTCGCATGTAATGTATGCAAAAACAGAGTTCGGGATTAATCCCATGTGCTTAATATAACGTTATGCAAATACACGCAAATCTTTATATGTGGCTAAGAGCGATTTAATTAAACGCTGCAGTAAACTAGAAACGTACGTCCTCTCGACAGAAATTCCACTAATTACATATACACATATATATGCACACGTATGTACAGGTATACATACATGCACGTACGTACATACATGTACATAGGATACACGCACATGTACGTGCGCATCGATCCGTGAACGTTACGGAAATAAATTGTATGCGAATGCAGCCGTACTTTTTATCACCGCTGTGATATCTTGAGTGACGTGCGGCGGGAACTGTCCCAGAAGATCAAGCACCGTGTTTTGCCGTGAATCCCTAATGCCCAAATCCACTCCGCGATCTAAAAGCGCCCGCACCACTTCCATCTTGCCGCAGAGCGCGGCCTCGTGCATCGCGGTGCCTGCCGATGTTCTCGTATTGACGTCAACCCCAGCGGCAAGGAGGACCTCCACGACCGCTCTGCAACACAAAATTAAGCGAACGTCTCATTGCATTTTATTTCACGTTTCGATCGATGCAACGGGCCAATCGTGAAATTCGCAAGGCGCTTCCGCAATTTTAACGTCGCTACGTAAAAGGAGAAATCAGATTGCGCCTTTCGTGCTTCATATGCAAAGGTGAAGGAAAGAGAAGCCCCGGCTTCAGGAACGTTAGGAAATAAAGTAACAAGTTATCGACTTTAGCGCGTGGACTTTGCGATAAATCTCGAGCGGGGGACCAGAGACCAGGGGCTCTTCGGGGTTTTAAGCGGCCTCGAAGCGTCTCCCGCGACCTCCATCCATCGGCAAGCCATTAAGACTATCAGAGCCGCATTTGCCACTCGGCGCCTAATCGAAACACAGATTTTGCCCTCCTTTTATCGGATGGGCCGCGCACCGACTGCGGTGACCGCAGCCGTCCGTCGCATATAGGATTGGCGGCTGAAGATCGGATTCGCGTGCACCTATGTTGTTATTACCGTAGCATAGGGGTATTTGTATACTGGCTTACCGAGAGCATCGATATTGAATCCGATAATAGACATTACTCCGCGTCCGCCTCCCCCAAAACTGATCCCTCTCTGCCATCAGTCTCTTCCCCCTACCCCATCCTGTTCTAGCCCCATATAGCTGCGCTGGTAGATCCACTAAATATCGTGGTGCGCGCGTGAAACGCGTGCGTGAGCCCGACCGTCGCAATGTACGCAACCCTCCCTCCCCCACCCCCACCCCCGTACGTGTTCGCGTGCGCGCATGCATCCACCTCAGAGACTCTCAAACTTGGCGGTGTCGGGGATCTTGCAACGTGTTCAACAGATGGATTCAAAGTGGACAGAGGGGGGTCTCGATAGTCAAGAATGTGTCGCGTATAGTAGAAAAGACACGTGTGAAATATGACAGGAACGTAAGGCGCGAAAGTATCAATTGTTGTAAATCGCTGTAACATTATCGGCATAGATCTACGTAAACTCGCGGACGTAAACAGATCCACGTGGACGGTTTTTGGATGAACGCGTCGATATTTCCCTTTTCGCGGCTGCAGTTTGAGAAACGCTGAAATCCAAACGCGCAAACAGCTCGTGCGTACGCGTTCGCACTCGTACAGGCGCAAACGTCTCGCGCGCCGTTATTTAACCAAAATTCGAGCGATAAAATGTCACGTTCCGCACGCTCTCTCTCTCTCTATCTCTCTCATGCCCACCCCACGCCGACACCCCCGGCCAATTCTGCTGCACCCTCGCGCCGGCATCGACGGAAAATGCAGCCGCCGGACTGTATATCGCGATACGATCGCATTATAAGCGGCAAGCGCCGGTTAAAGCGATTACCGGCTGCGAGGCTGCATAGAAAAACCGGCGTTATACCCGATTACAATGTGACTGCCGTTTCGCGGCGATTCACGATTCGATTCGACCGCCAACCGGGCTGTTACGATCGTCGCATCCCCCCGCGCTCGTCCACCGCTCACGTCTCCGTGGCGTCGATTATACAAAAAGCTCAGCGGGATTACGGACCAGTGTCGCCCTGTTAAACGGGAACGTTTCGCTCGGCACCAAATGTTAAAATGCGAAACGACCAGGTAACGGAGACGTTACAGCCCGAAATTCGCCACCGCGCGCCTAAGAGGCCACGGGGTTTTTCACGATTATCGAGGAATATGTGTAGCGGCGGTTGCACAGTATCTTCGCCATCTGATCATGTGGGTTCGACGTAATCGATTATCCGCTTCCTTCTTTGTCACCCTATTACGCGGCTCAGTTAATTGAATAATATTACACAAGATACATGATTATGATTATGACATTATTTATTCCACACAGAAGGTTCTTCCACTCCAATTTAATACCGACTTATTATTCGTTGTGTCGTCAGGTTTACGCGACGACACGACATCCCGACGTGACGTAACGACAGCGAGCGCGGTGCAAGAAAGCCGACGTATTTTTGAGACGCAAAGGAATAGTAATTTGCCGTTGCTCCGCCGTCGCGATTAATATAGGTCGGTACGTTTCGGCGGCAGTGATTAATACGATTCTCGTAATCGGGAGGCGGTCAGCAATCCGCACGGATGGACAGAGCGGCTGCCGGTGTGATGCGATCGGACGCATTCGCGTGGCTCGAGGAGGGACGAGAGGGCAATCGACGGGACGGTAATATGGGACGTGTAACCAGTAGAGGGTTGGATCGGATCATGCCAGTCGGAGGACGCATATATCGTATTCGATGGGATTACGCAACGCGGTGCTCTCTGATTGGCTCTAATGGCCAGCACTGCAAATGGCTCGACATCGTTATGGTTAGCTCGAACGAATCCATTGTTGTACTCGAACACAATACACGTTGCGCATTATCCAATAATTAGCGTGACCATTTCGCGGGAAGAAGCGATACGCGGTCCTTAGACAAACAAAAATACCCGCGCACACGTGACGGCAACGGGCACTGCATGACGCGCGCTTCGTCGGAATATCATTAAAACCGCTGAGCCGAGTCGCGCGAGGTAAAAAGGGAAAGGCAGCTACGTTTTTCAAATACATGACGTCTCATCTGTGTACACCATTAGATATAATAAACTCGGTAGTTAATTTCACTCGCTCGCTTTCTATCGATTATGAATTACTCTTTTTTTTTTTCCACGTACACGCCAAGTAAATTAACTCTTACCTGTGGCCATTGCGCGACGCTAAGTGCAATGGCGTGTGCGGGAAGATCAGAGATGAGGAAGAGTTACGAAGTGATTCGATTAATTCAGGATGCGTTCGCACGAGTAACTCCACAGTTTCCAATCTGTAAGAAACGGCACGGTTACATGGGTGATACCTGGCCCCGATCGAAGCGCGGCGATATCGATCGCGCGATTTTATGTCCGCGAGTATCGCGAGGTGTATACGAGAAAATATGTATTTGAGTCGCTGGAAAAAAAAGAAGATATAGTCGTGTGCGCGATTTACCTGCCATATTGCGCGGCGAGGTCGAGCGCGGATTCTCCGCGGCTGTTGCGGATACTAGGGTCGCATCCGTATTGCAACAGCTGTGCCACCACTTCCGTGTGCCCGTATTGCGCGGCACAATGCAGTGCAGTTTCGTTATCCTGTGTCTGTAACCAAACAATATTTAGAGGGTTTTTTTTTAGATAGTGCACATTGCGACATTCATCGAGGCTATTTCCGCCAAACTGAGTAACTATTACTTTTGGCGTCCGTAAAACAAATTTCGTTATATTATTTTACCGAAAAGATACTGCAAAATCTATTCTGAATGGACTCTTCAAGTGCACCTTAAAGCGATCACTCTGCGCGTTTCTTTATTGCCGTGTAATTTTTATAAGATCGACATTGTGCTACTTACCGCAAGATTCACGTTTGGTACCGATGGGCCTTGATTGAGAATTAATCGTACAATTTCCGCGTCTCCAGCCCAAGCTGCCAAATGAAGCGGCGAGGAGCCCTTAGCATCGACGACATTGGTGGAAGCCTCGTATTGGAGCAGCAATCTGACCACGTCTCTGCGAAAGAATGTTTCAGGGAATGTTAGAGACGGTTGTTTCCGAAAACAATCGATAAAGGGAGGAACGTTGAAATTTCAACACTCCGAAAAGTACTAAAGGGGAATTTTTTACAAGTATTGAACACATATTGTACCTATGTCCATTCAAGGCTGCATGGTGAAGAGCTGAATATCCACTGGCGTCTTGCACATTAGCACCCGGCCCTCGTCGTAAACTGCAAATAAAAATATTGTTCAATCGCACGGCAGAAAGTGTCGATTAATTAAAATTTCTCACGCAATATAAATTATTGTTGAATTAAAAAAAGAACACTTTGTTTCGTGGACGTTGGCCGCTGAGTCGGTAATTAACTTGCGCAAAGAAGTGCCGGGTGGGATCGAAAATAAAATATCTCAAATCTTTTTATAGGATCTGGCAGGAGAATTCGCGAAGTTTAGTTCGCCAGGAATTAAATTTGCGCGTACCAAACGTTTTTTAACTCGAACTCGAAAGCTATCGGCGACTCGATGTCGAGTCAAACGCTAGGTCTCGTCCTTTTACATTCGCGATTCGAAGAAAGTACAACTGGCGCGCGCGGACACGGCGTTAATATCGCGGCATCCGCGCATCACAGACGGTTAGATGACATAATGCGCCGCGTGAAAAGGAACAGACTCGCTAATGAAGCTTCCTGCGTCCAACACATGTTCTCATTATATGCCTTTGTTGCGCTCGCGCGAAGATAAATGTCGCGCCCCCGCAAACACCGTGTAAACGGCGGCACCCTCGGGAAAAGCAGAAGAGGCGCGCTATATAGCGGCGCTCCTCTCCGGGCGACTTATGATTCCCGCCCTCGCCACCTTTCTGCTTCCTTTTATTGAATCGGATATCCAGATATTCCTGCAACGCTTTGCCGATAGAGGAATTTCTCGTTATCCCGTCTCTCTCCAAGTGGATTTGATTGGAGGAACGCGAGGGGGGAGGAAAGCCGGCGGCTATTCAACCGTCCTCGAAGCGTTGAGTATCCGCGTTCAAAGGCGCTTGAATTGACTGGATTTCGAGAATATTCGAAAAAAAGATCAGAATAAAGTTTATATAAAAGTAAATTCTCTCTTCTTCCTCCTCTTTTTTCTTTCTTTTACTTTCGCGAGATACGAGGGCGGGCGGGACCAAGTCGCCGGTGAAAAAAGAAAATTAAGCGCATAATCGAAATCAAAATCTTTTAAAAGTCCGTAATGAAGATTCTATCGGGGACACGGAGCGCGGGCGTTTACGCGCGGTGATGGATCAACGTGAAAAGCCGCGATTAATGTTTTCATTTCGCAGTAATAAAATTCCGACGATCGTACGTGCCGTAAGTGCGATATTGCCTAACCGGCATAGTCATCCGACGTAGTGTCGTTGCAATGCTGGACACGTAACAGTAAGTTTATTGCCAACACCTAATTAACCCCAGTAAATACATCGCTCACATTATATTCTCGCCGCGTCCGTAGGTAACGATTAAAACGTTATAACCATTGGAAAGCGCCAGTTTAAGAAACGATTGCGAAGGAAGGATAGATATTTCGGCGACTTGACACGCGTGTTAGATAACAGTGGCTGATAATCGGCGGGGGAGTAAAATAATTGGCGATCCGCGTACAACGAACACGTTCGGCTCCCTTTTTATAATACACTGTACACGTATGTTCTCATCAAAGTGCGTCTTAATGAGAAATGTTATTAGACAGCATATTGACATTAGACGACTAATAAATGCCACAACTCGGGCACAGTATTTGCGCAGCTCTTATATACCTTCGATATGAGGATTGAAGCGCAAAAATATATATGTACATTCCAGCCTCGATCATCTGGAAGATAAACGAATAGCGGGCAACATTATGAATGATCTTTAGTAGAGGAGATTCTCCTATTATGAGACAGGTTCCTAATACGAGACAGCGGAGTTTCCGCTAAATTAATAGGCACCGTCTGTTGGCTCCATCGTGAATTTATTGCCCTCGGAGTGAAATCTCCGTTTAGGGGATTTAGGGGAAAATGGATTGTTAGATCGTGCGATCGTTGCGACAAAAGATTTGTGATTGAACTTGGACGTTGAAAACCTGCTGTCTCATATTAGAATCCTATCTCATAATAGAGGACTTTCCTCCACATAATAGACGCTATAATTGTCGTCTCCGTAATGCCTGATAGCAAAATGTATTCGAACGTTCTACGGTGCGCGAGACAATTAATTAAGCTGCGCAAAGAGAGAAAGAGGGAGAGCGCGATCGATTCGGGCGATATTTAGATTTAAAAGGCAACTTATAATTAAATCACTGATTACTATCGTATTAGTTCCAAGCAATCTAAATCGCCGGAATCCATTATCGATCGCAAACTCGCGTGAGGAAATGCAGGAACTTTTCCCTCGTTAAAAGAGCGTATATACACACATTTTAATCCCACGCCCACGTGACGTCGCCGTCAAAGCATCGCGCTCAGTTTACAAAACAATTACGTAAGCGGGAGACTTTTTTCCAGTATACGAGCGGTACATCAAAGCACGTCGTCATTAACTAACGTCGTCATTAACCCCTCGGATACACGCACTCTAAATCGCTGACTTTCCGTAGGCGGCACGCGACGCGATCGGCGTGCGCTCCAAGCTCTCCCCTTCACCTCCTCGAGAAACTCTTATCCCATTGTAACAGAGAGATCAAAAAGAACATTGTGTCGCACAAGAACGACATTACGGACGTGGCGAAACGTACGCACCACTCGAACTAAAATGGAAATCGTGCGGTATGGAAAAGAAAAGGCTGTAACGAGCTTCATCGGCGCCGACGAGAGGTGCGGTTTGCTCTCGAGCGCGTCTCGCAAAATAAATTTTTAATGATCGATTTTACTAACGACGTACCTTTCCTGCTTTTATCTTTTCTCCGTTTCTTTTTCTCGCGCTGTAATTTGTAAGCTTTAGACTTCGTATGCCCGATCGCACAACCTGCCCTCTGTCTCCCTATCGACGTCTTTCTCTACTTTGCCTTCTCTTTCGCTCGTCGAGCCAGGACGGGTGTTTGTTTTCCGCGTTCCCCGACAACGCGACGAGGGTGGTGCGCGATTCTTAAAGCCGTGTACACGAACGCGTTGCGCTGTCATGCGTGTGCGTTTCCGCACACATGCATGCGCAAAGTGCACACGTACCCCGGAATGACCAAGGAGCGCGCTTCGCGTGCTCCGATCCTGGTTAGTAAAGAACATTTGACTCTCTTTTTCTACACCCCCTCTCCGTTCTGCCAACGTCGCCCTTTCACTTTTCGTCCGCCCCATTCATTGAGTTCATCCGCTCTCCCAAGTTCCTTAATTAAACCCTGAAGATTGTCTGCAAAAAGGACATCGTCCGGTAACCCTGCCGTCGCTGAACATTACGAATGAGACGAGGGGCAGGGGAGATACAGAGGGGAGGACGATCATTGGTGGAGGGACCGTCTGTTGGACACCGTATAATGGTAATTTCTTGTTGATTTTAATCAAGAAGTTGCGCGATCGGAATGGGCATCGTGGGTCAGCATCCAGCAGCGTTAATAATTGCAGCTATTGTTCTTTTCCAATTCGAAAAGAAGGGAAATATAGGCAGAATAACTGCGATACCGACGCGTAACGTATTTAGCGTGTCGCTCGCACGGGGCAGAGTGAATAAATAATGCGAAATATTGAATAAGTTGAAAATCATAAAACTGAATACGCGCGAGTGAATAAATAATTTTATCGGCGCGTTAAAAACACTCGATACAGATATAAAATTGTGCAAACTATATACTGCGAACTAAATGTAACGCATTTAAAACAAATTAAAAAAACGGCTCTACGAATCCCGATGTTTCGTTATCGCTGTACATATTGTTTTAGGCGGGCACGGAAATAGTATTTGCGTATTGTAATGACTGAACGATACGACGTGGAACATGCTTGCGGCCAACCATAATGTATTGATGGAACTTCCGTAAACATCTCAAGGATAGAAATATAAAACGCGGTTGGATAAACGGAGCTCGGTAGAGCTCTTTTCGACTGCATGAACGTGAGTGTCTAGCGCGAACGCACCCTTATGCCGGAGGCAAAGCGTAGAGGAAAACTAGGCTGAGAGGGAGAAGGAGCAAAAGAGAAAGCGATGAAGAGGAGAGAGGAAGAGAGGGCCGAGACGGGGAAGGGAGGGAGAGGACACGGGTGTGCGAGAGAGTGAGAGAGGCTGAAAGCTGTGAGGGTGTATACATGTGAGGGGTGCTGGGGCATCAATCGATAGTTTCCTCCGGCAAAGAAGAGAGGTACGATACGTGCTGACCTAGCCAAATGTCCTTCTTCGGGAATATTTGACGACAGGTGCCGCGTTAAAAAAAAAAAGAGAGAAATACTCGCATTTACTGCAAATCGTGCGAAGCGCCCTAAAAGTGGCGACAATGACAAATTTCAACTCGAGGAAACATAATTTCTTTTCGCGATAAAAAAATTAAAAGTAAAACATTAATATATGCATATTAACGCGTGGGACGTGTATTCACTTAGTTTTAAACTTTCAAATTAACTTAAGTTATTCCGAAATATACTGATGCGCGGCGCGCACGCAAGCAAATCAACCGACTACAATTTATCGGATTCTGATTATCATACGTTACAATTGACTCGCGACATTACTTCCGACAAATTTGAACTTACTACGGGTATATATCACGCGTGAAGTGCGAATATTTATACTCTCTATATTACGTAATACACGTTACATATCGATTTTCTTACGTTCTGTCGCGTGAGAAGATTTTTTTTTCCAACTTTGTCTTTCACGAAGCTGTGATTAAAATTATCACACCTGCGTACAAAGCGAAAAAAAAAGAAGCGAACGACGGACAAAGGATAAACACGCATTCGCGGGCGCTCGTACACGAAAAGTGGTGCGTCCACTTCGCGATTAGCATCGCAAAATATTCTCAGCTACCTCTCGCCGGGGTAGTGTCGAGGAGCTCGGAGACGTTCTCTCAGGGGACGGTCGCGTTTTATATTGCTTTTCTGTGATCTCGACGAGGAGGGCAAAAAGGCGAGCGCGTGTCGGGCGGTGAAGAGGTCGCGGAATAACGAGAAGAAGAAATCGCGCGGGAGAAACTCGCCGCGGGCTGGCTTTGTAGTGGCGGACAAGTTGCGCGCTGCCGACGACAGGCACGAGAGACAATTCGTTAGAGAAGCGCGTTCGTTACGATACATTTATATAGGTATCACCGAGACGGCGGATCGTCGCCTCCTTCCAGCCCTTAAATAGATAGGAGGCGGACGAAAATTGCAAATCTCCCCCAATCGCTTTTATCTGTGAAGTGGTTTCGACGTAAACTCACCGCGGCACATTTTATGCCATTCGTTGAGTTGCTCAAATTCGATATCGCTTTGTTTTCTAATATTACGGGTATCCGGCCTGGATAAAAAGTTTATCTCAACATTTGATAGCGCCAATTGTATTGCCGAATATTGTAATAAAAACTCTTGTCCTTTGTCATTTCTCCTGCCTGGAACTTTGACATCTGTCACAATCCGAGGGAAAAATAAGGCTAGTAAATGTTTGTCAATACCGTGTATAATATCATTTAGATACACTTGTTCTTATCACTGCACGGAGAGAATTTTCTTTTCAAATTTATTCTGAAAATTACGTAGTCGTGGGACAACGTGGCACTTTGAAGAATTTTATGAGAGGTTTTGGAAATTTGGCCGTATTTTTACTACTAGAGAAAAGTCCCCTATTATGAGACAGGCTCCTAATATGAGATAGCGGAGTTTCTGCTAAATTAATAGGCACCATCTGTTCCACCCTGAATTTATTGCCCTTGGAGTGAAATCTGTATGGGGGGAGGGGGGGGGGAATTGATCGTGTAATCGTGGTGAAAAAAGATTTGTGATGGAATCTGAACGTTGAAAACCCACCATCTCACGTTAGAATCCTATCTCATAATAGAGTCCTCTAATTATACTTAGTATACATTTTACTAGTAAAGTGGTGTACATTTATACAGTTTACTAAAATTTCACAAACTCTCATAGAGTTCTTCACAATGCCACGTTGACCCACGATTACATGATTTTCAGCGTAAGTTTGAAAAGAAAATTCTCTCCGCGTGGATAATAAACAGATTTTCCCTCGTTCTCTCTCACTCTTGACGTCTCTTTGCCTCTTTGCACCATCGCGCGGTGCAGTCATTCTTAAAATACGTGAATGCGCTCGCAGCACGTGCGCACGCACGCACGCACGCACGCACGCACGCACGAGTCCCTCGAAATACAAGCCGTGAACATCTTGCGCCGTCGTCGTGGTGCGACTTAATTAACGGGAAAGAGCAAGTAGCGTCGACAAAGTCCCTCTTTGTCGAGGAGTTCGCGGCACTGGGTCAATAAAGAGCGCTGCCGAGTAGACGGCGGTGTTTCACTAATTATGCGAGCGTCACCCGCTCGGAACGACATCATCGGCGATCGCGGTATAATTGAATGAGGCGAGGACGCGACGTGATAATAAATTCATTCGGATTCGCGTTCGATCGACTCGCTCTACACATCCGCTAACTAATCGTCTGTTTGAATACGCTTGTACAAGGCATTAAAGCTCCTTTATACCCACATGACTTCGCGATCATCTCTTGAATGGACTCGCATTGATATTTGTCTTCTGCACTTACACGGAGAGAATTTTATCCTGACAATCACGTAATCGTAGGACAACGTGGCATTTTCCAGAACCTTACGAGAGTTTTTGGAAATTCTACCGTACACTTTACTAGTAAAATGTACGGTGAAATTTCAAAAACTTTATGAGGGTTTTGTGAAATTTTACCGTACACTTCAATAGTAAAAAAAAAACCCTCATAAAAGTCTTCCAAATGTCGCGTCGTCCCACGATTACGTGACTTTCAGGCTACATTTTAAGAGAAAATTCTCTCCGCGTGTGAAGTGTCTGCAAGTCTTCTGAGATTAGAACGAAATTAAAAATCGATTTTATTAATCAAGGCAAAATCCTGTACTCCCGAAATCATAGAAACTAGTGTCGGAGAAGATATCGATTGGAAATAGAGCAGTTTATTTCTAGGCGGTATGTTTCACGCTACTCGGAAGAGAAGTCCAAGCCTCGCGTCATTCCGAAATGACGAGGCACGCGACGACATCGCGCGTCGAAAAATGGAGCAGCGTGGTTAGGGCTTTAAGCGACGCGCAAATCGATGCGAGTATCGCGGTGCTCGGCGAGCGTGCGACAGCTTGACAGATGAATGAACAATTGTTTTACTCCGATTTCGACCATAATGACGACACTGCGCGTACACACGCCGGTCGTTAATTTATCTCCGCGCGCAACTTTTTCGCCGGGCCGAGCGCACGCTCGGTCGCGCCTGCCCGATTATTCGTCCGCGCGTTCTCGCGAATAAACGCGAAATTACGGCGTTCCCACGGTGGTGCGCGCGCCCGCGAAAATCGCTTGCAATTAGCGCGAATTCATTCGCGCGCGGGATGTCTCGCGCCGGGGAGACGTAGAATAGATTCGATCGCGGTGCCGCCGTTTCTTCGCGCTCGCCCGCCGCGTTCTCCGCGCGTTTCACCGATGACCCTTGAGAGTATGGTACACACAGCCACTCGCCAAATAGATCCCGCTATCTATCGCCGCAAATAGAAAGTAGAGTGACTCGAGACGCGCCGCGCTGCAGGTGAAGCTCTCGGAAATAGAGGCGGTATATTTTAACGGGGCCTCGTACTTGCGCCTTTGCGCACTTCTGCGACCCTGTCGCACATTCCACGACGACAAAGCGTATATTAATGCTAAACGATACTAATTGTTTCGCGTTAACAGCTCGGAGGAAGACGTCACAGGAAGCATCGCACACGGCTCCAGATAATTGACAACAAAGTTCTCCTCGCTCGGCGCATCCGCGTGCCAACGTCATCGAGAATTCGATATGATTCATGGCCACGGCAAAATGACGAGCGGTTCGACTGGGCGATATAGTTGCCGGACGAAACGCCGCTGTCAGTGCACTGTAATAGCATTATTGCGCTTCTAAGAATAGGACGAAACTCAACCACCGTATTGATTTTGTCGTTAATTGGCGGAATAACTGTATTGCAACTGGGTTAGTTCAATCGCACGTGGAGAGATCTTGATAAAACAAAATTGCCACGTCAAGAGGACGGGCGGCGGCGGCGGCGGCTACGGCGGGGAGGAGGGGAGGAAGAGAGAGGCTAAACCGCTTAAATTAAATGTCGCTGCGCGAAAACGTTGAGCGCGGAAAGTCGAGGCGTAAAGTCGCGATAACGCGTACGTGCCCGCGGGCGGGATAAAGGTGGAAACGCGGGCGATGATTCGTGTAATTAACGGTAGAACTAACGGCAGAAATCCTGGCGAGCGGTCAATCGCGGCAACCACGGATTAATCGAGCGACGACACGGCACGTCCGATCGAGCGCGAGGGAATTATCGTAAGAAGCGTTATCGTGACGAAGGGAGAGAGAGAGAGGGAGAGAGAAGAAAAAAGAAGGAGCGAGAGAAATGAAAAGGAAAGAAAAAAGGGCACGCCGGTGTTCATTCATCGTGGGAGTTCGTTTAACCCCGTTCGCGCGAGACTTTCCTCGTCTCGGAGCGCCGCGGAGAAAATTGCGAAACCGGACGGGAGCGGGCCGTGCGTGGGCGACGGGGCGAGCCGGGGAGTCCGTCGCGGCCCCGGGCTTTATCGGCCGCGAGGCGCGAGTCGGAGTACGCCGAAATGAGCGTGCGGGCAGCGTGCGGTGGCGGTTCGATAATGGAATGCGCGAGGGACGGAGGATGCGTCTCGCGGCCGCCGCCGTGTCCGACGCGCTCGGGGACGTAGACGCGTGTCGTCGACGGATCGCCGGACGGGCGTGACACCGGGAACGCGGAAACGAGCTCGGCAACGCGGAGAGGCGACGGCGAGCTGTCAAGCCTAGGCTCGGAGCACGGTGACACCCACCTTGCCAGTGGACCACTCCTCTTGGCTCGCTGGCCGAGGATCTTCTCGACCACGGTGACGTTGCCGCTCCTCGCTGCCTCGAGCAGCTCCTGGTCCTTGCCCATGGTCCATTTACACCGCGATCAGGCCGCGATGTTCGCCCGCACACTTGTCAATTTGTGTTTTCACTACGATTACTCGCGTTTCATTGATCCAACGTGGCCATCTTGGGCGAACTGCTGCGCCGCCAGCCGGCGGCCTCGCGAGGCTGCGACTCCGCTAAATACGTAATGAGGGTGAGCGAGACCGCGACGCCGGGGATCCCGTGCGGCTCGTGAATGGAGCGAGCGAGACGGCGCGAATATCGTGCGTACCGCCGTTGTGTACGAGCGCCACGAACGAGCACGAGCTCGTAGAGCCGAGTGTCAAATGACAGCTGTTGCGCCGTGCCGATTCTCCGCCGCGGACGCCGGCGAGCACACTTTTCGGGTGGGAACCTGAGCGAGTAAATGCGCCAGCATGAAACGTGCCATTATCCTTCTATTGGCCTCGCCGTTATTCCTCGGTAACGCGACGACGGCGGTAGAAAATACGACTACCGAATCAGTGTCTGGTAAGCGCACCTAACCTCAACATTCGCCAAACCTCTTCTCGCGATATACTGAGAATAATATCTTCCGTGTTAATTAAATAGAACGAAGAACGTCGGATCATTACTTAGGCCGGTATTCATGGTCGAGTCTTATTTCAAAATCATCTTAAGTGTTGTCTTAAGAGGTTAATACTTTGCGACTGGTTAAAAACACATTAAGAGTCCACTTAAGATGATCTCAAATATAAGAACGGACTATTAATACCGGTCTTAGGTCCGGGCAAGCTGAAGGTAGCCGAATCATTTTTTAATTAAATATGTGAACTCGTATACTGTCTTTTTCATCCTATCCTGCGCGCCGTTACTTACTGTCGGACGTATAATGCAGGTTGCAGTCAGGTGGAATCGTTGTCGTCGGTCTTCTGCGCAAACCTCCGAGCTGATAAAATTCAGGTGGCCAATTCTGTATCTTGCGCTATAGTGAAAATGCTCAAAGTGGAGTAGCTTTGTCTCTTTCTAACCGTCCCCTGAGAAGGAGACAAAACCGCTCACTTTTAACACTTTCACTAGTCCTGTTCGAAAATTCGCTGCCAGCGCTACAAATCTGCTGGATACTTTACGCGCTTTATAGATCTTTAGCGCTGGCAGTGAATTTTGGGACAGTCCGCATTATAAGATACAGAATTGACTCCCAGGTATTCAAATGTTCACTATTTCAAATTAACAAATAATACTTGCTTGTTACACTGAAAAGAATATTTGTAAAATTACATGATTATGCTGGGTTTTTTCCGACCCAGCATAATCATGCAATATTACTACCCACATGGAAAATTGCAGACTTTTTCTGTAATTTTGCATGAAAATTAGTGTTTTTACACAAAAATAGTAATTTCACCTATATTTTACCATTAATATGTATTTTCACTTTAAGAAATCTGGAAAAAAAATTACAGTTATAATTAGGTAATTTTCCGGATTTGAACAAGTAATTTCCATGTAAAAGTACATTAATTTTTTTCAGTGTACTTAAAGTGTGGGGCCACTTTGTTCCTATTGAAAGAAACACACTGCGCAAAATATAATACTCAAATATCTCATTGTCAGAATATTCCCTCGTTACCCAAAATGAGAAAGTAATGTCGGAATAATTGAAGATTCACACATTTCCTAAAAAGTGCTACTTTATCTCCTTCTGAGGGGACAGTTAAAAATATTATTTTTATACGCAAGATTACGCAAAATATAATACATATCTCAATGTCAGATATGTTCCCTTGTTATCCAAAATGAGAAAGTAATGTCAGAATAATTGAATATTAATTTACACGTTTCCTAAGAAGTGCTACTCGAATGCTTGAGTACTCGTTATTCAAAATATATGAGTGATATTCAGGTGCTCAAGTATTCGATTAACACCTGACAACTACTTGAAATATCTGAATATCAAATATACATATTTAATAATCGTAGACATACTCGTGCATTGCCCTCACGAATATTGCTCGTGTTGACTCATATGAATAAGTATTCAGGTATCCAGGTATTATTCATATTTGTCAGGAAATACGTAATTAATCAATATATACATAATATTTAATACTCGCTCATTTTTTCACAAAGCAAAAAGTATCCAGATATCTGTACATTCATTCGTTTACCTGCACTTAAAATATACAAGTAATATTCAAATACCTGCTCGCGAGTCCAACTGTACCAGCAATGAGTATTTGAATATGTATTTTTCTAAATGTGCGAGTAGTAATTAGAGAGACGAATATATCAGAGTGGCGTTCAGTATAAAATGTGTGGGTAAACTCTTATACACTCATTGTCAGTCGCAAAAAAGCGATACACTAAAAACTTGGGAGAAATGTACCAAATTTCACGTAATCATAACTTGGTAAATAATGAAGATAAAAATAGATACAAAAATGGAAAATGAAGCTCCGTATGTCCACTTTAAGAATATCTGCATGGCAATTATGTTCGACTATTTTTTTTCCAAATGGCGAATGATAAAGTGAGAGCATGCAAAATCGATAATCGAACGTCCGAGTTTGCGACGGTGCATGGCGTGAATCAGGTATCGCAGCGTAACATGACGAAGTGCACATGAAAGTATAGAGTGTTAGCTTTAAAATGCTTTTCACCGAGCACAGTACGATCATTTTTCGCGGTGTTATGCACATTTAAAGAAAGAAACTGCATAACTCCGCGAAAAATGATCGTATCGTGCTCGGTGAAAAGCATTTTTAAGCTACACCCTGTACTTTCACATTATGCACTTCGTCATATTAGACTGCGATACCTGATTAACGCCGTGCACCGTCGCAAACTCGGACGTTCGATTATCGATTTTGCATGCTCTCACTTTATCATTCGCCATTTTGAATAAAATGGCCGAGCATAATTGCCATTCAAATATTTTTTAAGTGGACATACGGAGCTTCATTTTCCATTTTTGTATTTATTTTTATCTTCATTATTTACCAAGTTATGATCACTTGAAATTTGGTACGTTTCTCCCAAATTTTTAGCGTACCGCTTCTTTTCGCAACCGAGCGTATATTCCGTTAATATCGTCTGTCTTTGCTATTTGTTATATTGCTCGAATAATTAAGATCCGTGCATCTGTAATACGTAAATTACATTTTTAGCATAATAATTAAATATTTCAAAATTTATTTTACATATAAAAAGTAATGTACCGAATCTTACGAATCTTTATTATTTCGATAATACGAATAGCGAATAAAATAAATACTGAAACGATATGAATAGATAACAAGTAATACAGATTGTGTTTTCATGTATTCAATTGTTATTCATATTTTAGATAATGAATATCTGGATATCCGGGATACTACTCATTCGTCTCCTTTGTGCATTATCGGCTCTAATATGGTATATTCCTATCTTGTGTGTCAATGATTCTGGTCGATAAATGTGAAGTAATTTATTGTTTGTCGAAAAGTAGATCCGATTTTTTTACATTAGATTTATGCACCAGTTAATTATTATTCGTCGAATTGTTTCCATTGCGCTTTACTTAACACCTCATTGCAAAATATGGTGCAGATCTCTTGACGTCTGAATATATATTCCTTGTATTGTATTTTTAGAACAGGGTTATCTATGACTCACCCGTGTCGCGCGGCAAATTAGATAAATAGCTTTAATAAGATACGAGAGCATAACACAGAAAGTTTAATTTCGAATAATAAAGTAGCGTGTAATTATCGTAATCGTCTTCATTAATATCGACGTTTGATGTATTGTATTGCAGACAGCGTCGGGATAACCGTGTCTTTATGGAATCATCGTGAGAATAACGCATTTAAACAACGAATAAACGTAGCCCCATTTAATCGCTTAAATATCACTGTGGCAGATGTTCCATCAGATATTTGGTTTATTGTTTTGCAAATTCACACATTTCAATATAATGCCACGCTATCTTACGATAAAGCGCTACTTGACAGAGTGTCGAACAGAAGTTTATTCGGCACAAATATTGGCCTGTACTTAAAAACGCACGATGTAACAGCTCCAATACAAGTGTTCCTGAAGCACGACAACGTGCACAATCTCGATGCGTTGCTCGTGATTGTCACATACGGTCGAAATGGTAAGTACAAATAACAATAATATTAATAATAATATATGCCTGTCTTTGTCACACTTTCCATTTCGAGTAACATTTATTTACGGAATTAAATCTGGTGCCGCGGCACAACGCTGCCCATTAATATAACATAAAATTAATGGCCATATTATATGTACAAAGACAATTGCAAGAGGACAATATTTGCATGATAAAGACCGAAAAATTATATGCTGTATTAAATTAAACAGCCGTGTTACGTCGATCGCGATAGCACAAATAAATCGCGAATCATACCAAGATGTGCATTCGATTAATTTGCGGCGCATCTCTATTATCTGTCGCGCGTAAATGGGTTGAATAGCTAACCGTTTTCGACGGCGGGCATAATGGCAAAATTGGTTGAGTATCGAGAGAAACCGCCGGCGTCGTTCATTGGCCGATTGTTGTTCCCCGCAGCACCGATACCGGGTGGATGCAACATGGAGTTCGATGTTGAAGTAGCGCCGTATCAAAAGCTCCGTGCAGAAAACGAAATGATAATAGTAGACACGCAGCCGGCCTCGGTTTCCGCCCCGAACGGCTCGCCGGTTGCCTGCGAAAAGAGCGCGGTGCAATACAAAATGTATCGTCTTTATCTGCCTAGACGGGACTTCACCCCGGATACATATTTCGACGCGATCGCGAGTATGCTGACCACGCAGGACATTGCGCGAAACGGCGACGAGGTAATATCGCGTAATAAAACAGATCCGTTTTGATAAGTCGTCCCAATATACCATAGAACCGCTATCATTATTTCCGCTGACACCGCTATCATTATTTCCGCTGATCCAATTACTACTACAGCGATCTGCGAGCTAACAGAGATTGCCAGTGCGCGTTTGCTATATGTGCGTCTGAAACGTATGATTAAGAATCTTTCTTGGTAGATACCGGAAGGTGCGCTCACGAGTTCTATGAGACGTATCTACAGTGCGTACACCGGCACGGGATCCGTTTACGCCGCAGTTGCCACTTATGAAAATTATTCCTCGGCTTACGTCCCGACTTTTACGTACGCTTGCAGCCCTCTGCTCTATCCGGAGAGTTGTCAAGTTTTAAGTATGTTTCACCATCTTTCTTTTTAGATCGCTATTCTGCGCTCCAGCATAATGTGACGACAAAGAACATTTCAATTATATTCGGAAAAGTTATATATTTTTGTGCGACATATATACGAGGGTATATATGTCGCCTCTCTTGAGATAGTAAGATGTTTTTTCGAAGCAATCATTTTTCTCGATCTTTCCAAACCTGCAAATATTTCTCAAACGTCACAGCGTTGTAAACTTATCGTCACATTACGTGTTTCTATAATTATTTGTTATTTCGTCGTTTTTTTCAGATGACGGATTCGCAAAGGTGATATGTGCACTTGTCCTGATGATAGGTTGTCTGTCAATTACTATAGGGCATAAGTACACTTGTATAGATCGTTTATTATCGAGTTGTATGGTAGGTGGTATCTCTGGGTACATTATAGCGACGAGTGCCGGTCATTACAGCGTTGCAAGTAATCAATGTTTTATCGAAATGCTTTATTGAAACGATGTATATTTAACACAACTTACCTCTCGAGAAGACGCGCGCTGAGTGACTCTTGTCTCTTTCAGTCAACATCCTGATAGGTTTGGTATTTGCTGTACTCGCTATGGGCGTCTCGGTACTCTTGAGTGCTTACGAGTTATGTCTATCGTTACACAATGTATCATTGGGATTTCTGTGCGCGTGCATCACATACCTTTACGCACCAGGTACGTATCGTGTCCCAAAATCGTGTTTCAGAATACCGAATGTGGCTCGCATCGATATTGAATAGGGAATACATTAACAGAGTCGGGGTTCAATTTTTTTTTCCAAAAGGCACTATTTTCGTATTTATTTTTTCCACAAATGATTAATTTACATTCTAACCGTCGCGTTCAGTGGCTACAAGTGTTAAAACGCCCCGCGTAACGCAACGCAAAATACAGCCGGCGCGAAAAGGATAGGGAAACGAGGGCGGGAATCGTAGGTAGCCTCTCCACGCCCGCGGTGCTCGCGAAGGGCTGTTGCGAATTATAGGAAAATAATGAAAGCCAGGCTTAAAAGCAGAGGGATAGAACCGCGCTGCGCCGCCACCCCGAAGTTAGTTCGAGTTTGGCGAAGGGATGAGAGGCGCACAGTCAGTTTCTCCCCGTAGCTTCTATCAATGCTGGCCGCTCATGTGGAAACCTCGCCCGCTGAATCCCCCATGCAGAAGCGGCATGGCGCATTCACGTTGCCTCCCACCTTTCTCACCATAACGCCGCGACTACCCTTCGTCTACCCTCGCCTGGGCACAAACGCAAAAATGTGCCCGCCGCCGCCGCCGCCGCCGCCGCCGCGCGTGCACGCATACGCGCGCGACGCTGGTCCACCCTGTCGACGCTGGTCTACCCTGGACTCCCGCGGCACGGTGTAACCAGCTTGGAAGATTCGCATTTACCTAATTGTGTCCCCGTTTATTTATTCTACGCCGGGACCTATTTAGATTACGCGATGCATGCACGCGCAACTGCACGGGAGCAAGCGAATCGGGGCCCATCTATCCCGCCCGAATTCTATCCCGTCGACAGATGATCGCGATCGCTGTTTACTCTAAAACCGTCCGCTCGCACTCCGCACGCCAGCGGCAAAACGGACGACTATCGTGTATTCGAGCGTCTGTTAATTGGACCATCGAAATTTTCGCGCGCGACAGCGACGTACAGCGGCGTTGAAATTGCTGGACAGCAATGCGTGTTACGCGCTAATACATAATTTATTATTTTTTGTAGTATGGGCGTTTTACGTCCTGGAACATAATTGGTTATTCTGGCCTACGTTCACATGCCTGATACTCGCAATAACCACGCTTCTGATGACGATGTCCTATGCCGCTGAAATGATTACACGTGCGATTTTCGGATCTTACTTCGTAGTCGTCGCGCTCGATTACTATGTCGGCAGTAACTTGAAATATATCATCATTACCATAATCCGGAGGATAACTGTACCTGGATTTTTCTTAGCATTCGTGTATCCGCCATTTCAAAATGCAGGTACGTTTACGTTACTTTTATTTCACGTACAAATACCTCGATGTTACACACCCCTGAATCTGTTTTTAGATGTAACTCTGGTAATTACCTGGAGTGTTCTGATATTAACACGATTCATTATACAATTGTGTGCTTCTTTTCGTCATAAGAATGAGTATGAGACAGAATTTGTGGGACACAACGCAGAAAGAGTATCTTTGCTGCCTGACTATAATTATGGTGTTACCGACTATTCTGGTGGAAGACATACAAGAAAATATCGTCAATACTATCGTCGATATAATCGTCGATATCGTTTATAATAGTGTTAAGATTACTTGTGCAATGATTTTGATATTGAAAATTTGTTTTTGCGATTCATTTACAATTTCCAAAATAATTATATGCTTCCGTTTGTTAAAGATTGCTTAAGTCGCAAATCTCAGCTGACAACGTATCTTCTACAGGTATAAATATCATACAAACCTGTTCGCCTCATCGCGATGTCCTAAATATTAAAATAAAATGTGATATTCTCTTTAAACAACACATAAACGCGTAATAATGATGCACAATATTTATATTGGACCTTTAATATGTAAATTTTTTAAATATTTTTTCAACATTTTGTTTAATAACTGCGACGTTTGTTTTGATATAAAGCCATGTTCACCCAGAGCTAATTTTATTTTTCACGAAACTGAATTAAAATATTATAATTAATAGCCGTGAATTACATAAAGTTGTGCAGCGTTATTAAATATTTAACTGTAGTGATTATATATGTTTTTGGGGGGGGGGGGGGAGAGAGGAGAATTTTTTTAGTATTTTGCACTGCATTGTATAAGAACTTACGTAATGTTAGTGCTGGAACGTAAATGTAAATGAAGAATGATGATTTGGCATTAAAATGAAATAACATTTATTGAATCGAGACAGTGACACCTAACAGTGGTTCTCTATTTCCTACTACTTACAATCTTAAAGTTAATCACAGCAACAATATTATCTCATTATTCACAACACTTACATAGATTACTGTCGCAATAATATATTATTCTCATTAATAAATTTGTTAATACTCATACACTGTTATTAGTAGTATCATTACAGATAATAAGAAATTCGCGTAACCACTTCCGCGTAATTGTTGGTTGTATAACGATTAAAGCATAATTTCGCTGAAACGCATTTTACATGCATAAAATTACGGTAACGTTCAATTCGCAAAAGTTCTATGCAAACGCAGATTCACAAAGGTAACATAATATAAATGAGAAGTACTTTAATCTACTATTCGCGAAATGCACAGCCTGTTGCAAGTGCAGCGCCTATTTGCGGAGGATCTTCGTGCAGACGTGTATAATACGCAACCTCTTAGTGGATGCGTATTCAATTCATCCCGGAACACTTCCTCGAATAGAGTAATAACGTCGATGAACGTAAAATTCAGTTTTTCGGTTTCGGATGGTCTCATTCTTCCAAGTACTGAAGAAGCGTATGACACAGTGAGAATTTTGAGATTAATTCGTTCTTTCATTAAGAAAAGCAGAACTAATTAATAGCCCAAACGCGTAAATATATGTAATAATTGGAAAATTTTTTTTAATTAACGAGATGTCCAAATTCATTCGCATAGAGAAGATGCCAAATATTCCAGTCTACTTCGAATCCCTGTGAATTCTTTGAATTCTGGGCGCTTCATACCTTTCTCGTATGTTTAGCTCTTTCTCTATTTTATTTTTGAAATACATATATATGCGTATATGTATATATGTATATATATATATGTATATATAAGGTGATAATATTTATACAGAATTATAAAACATTTTACAAATCTAACACAAAGAAGGAGGGGAAAGATTCTTTGTATAAAAGAGAATTTAACGTTGGAAAAAATTGTTTGAAGATTCTTTTCACGTTGAATGAAAAAATCTGTTCACAAGGAAGTGGTATTGGCTGATTCAAATGAAAGTTGTCTCGAACTGGAGTTTATCGTCGCGAGATCGATTTAATATCGGTGCCGTTCAGATGTACCGAAGATTTCCCAGCGTTTCTCAATTCACGCTGCTTTTATTTTCGTTTTCTTCCAAAAATATAAATTTACTAATGTACACAGTACACTCTCCATTAAGTGCTCTTCACGTATAAACGTTCAACAAGTTTACACGAGCTCTACGTGACCGTGTAAATGCCGACGAGAAACGAGCGACGCTGCTCCGACTGGCGTAATTTTACACATACTTCACACGTTACTGTTTAACACAATGTATATCGTCCACGGTTATCTATTGGCTGCTGATTAATTGTAGAGAGTTCGTCACCTACATTTATTACGACACGCGTTAGCATTGTCGATAAAACGATCGTTACGCGTTGCGAGAAAAAAAGGAAAAACGCTTGCAAATATTCACATCGCGACAGAAAATATCGGCACACACAATGCTGCCTCCTGAAAAAAAAACCCCCCCGTCGAGTTCTGGAACGATAAAATTCGAAAATATCGAGTCGCTGTTTTCACGCCGTTTTTTCCACACCTACGAATCAGTGACTAATTATTCGACGCGATCGTGCGGCGCGACTCAATTACTAAAAAAACGTGCTGTCCTCCCGTTAGGTGGTGATCGAAATGCATCGATTAAATGGATCACGCATATACACACCCATTGAAATCACAATAAGGCCGCACAGGTGGTTGACATTTCTCCTTGCGAAAGTTATGCCATCTGGTTTTACGAATAGTAGAATTGTGCCAAATTTTTATCTTTACTGTAATTGCTATTGCAAAAATTTCACCGTGTAAAGTAATAATATATCGCCCGTGAAAAGATTGTAGCTTTAAAATAGCAATGAACGCAATCGCCTTATTTGCAGGATTACCCTTTTAAATAATACGCGTGAAATGTTATGCAAAAAGATTCCAGTATTTTTGTCTGGTCGGTGATTAATTTTTACACGTATCTGTCTACGGAGGTCCGTTCCAAAACTCGTCTTCGAACGAAAAGCTCGTGCGTTCGACGCGTTTCGCGAAATGATAGGTAAATAAATGTAGGCTCAGATCATTTGATTTTATTCAAGTTCTGCTGCTGCATGGTGTAAGTAAACGGAGTCATCATTTCGGTGAGGGAAAACATTGAATACACGGATAAGATGTTGCGTAGTTTATAAGGTGGTAATACGTTCGAACGTAACTGGAGAATTCGTCTAACTTATTTACGTGTATATACAGTGATAATTATTTCTAATTTACAGTACTGGTTTAAAGAGAGTAACAAATGCTATCTTACAATTATCTTTATACAGCGTAATCGAAAGAATGTGCTTCGATCGTGTGCGCGGCGACGATTAACGAGTTCGATACCAATAACATTTCTCGTTACTGCGAGCACCAATATTCGCGATTCGCTCGAAAAGACGAATCCGCCTCCTCGGTCCATTAGCTCAGCGATACGTTTACATTAATAGCAATAAATACCGACGCAAACGTCCATGCTACTTGCCCCCTTCGGGCATACTGCGACACTTACCCAAATCTTTCCTATGATTACGTCGGTTTATTCCTCACGACCTCACACGTCACTGTGCCTTCATTATGGTAGTAACGATGGTACAAGCTACGGATTGGATTGTCTTAATCTAGAATCGTGTATCTTGGACCGGAATGAACATTGTGGAGAGACGTGCAACTGAAAAGTTTCGAATCGAACATTTCGGCCTGCTGTTCATTGCTCGCAAATGTGTCAAGTAGTTTACGCGGAGCACTTAAAAAAGAAAATGCTTATTCGCGTTATTACGTTAAAGGGGATCCGTGTGAAACTGTAATATTGCTATTCTCGATAAATCCTGCACACTGATCTCGATGAGGTTTAAATCTAGCGTAATTTCAAATACACGCGGCGATCATTATTGCGTGTCCGGTTGCATCTGCAAAGCGCGACGAACCCAGGCGTGAAGAACCACTCGCATTAATGATAATATAATAACAACATTTTTATCAAGTACAACCCCCCCCCCTAAAAAAAACAGAAAAACGACAGAAAAATATAAAACGATTGCAAGTTTTATTTCAAAAGGATATTTTCATTTGCAAGCGTAAATAGAAAATAGAAAACATAAATAAATATAAATACATATTAAACAATTATTTCCTTTGTGTATCCCTGGGGTACTTTTCGCGAATAAGTTGTGGATCGATACACCCCGTTCGCAAAACGAGCATAGACCGTGGGGCCGCAACATCCTTTCGAGAGCGGTGTCTTCCGACGCCATATCTGCCGACAGACACGATGGCCGGCCTCGGCGCAGCTGAAAAAAGCCGCCCTCCAGGCAGCTATCAACCCCCGCACAAACCGTTCCCTCCCGCAACGAAATCAGCCTCATCGGGAGACTACCACCCTAAACTCTCGCGAGAATATATTTCGGCGGGAGCCGCCTACGTGTCTGCGGCTCCCTTTCAATTTCCACGCGGTTCGCGGCCGCCCTTACACGAAGGAAAATATTTGCCGGAAACCGATACAACGTGCGGCAAACAATATGCGCCCGGCGCTATCCAATAAATCCGGTAATAAAGCTCCCCGATACCGAAAAACGAGAGCCGCTGTAAATTTAATGAATGCTCTTGACATCGATCGACTTCGGGAAACTATGTAAAAGGGGGGGGGGGGGGAATTCGCACGCGCTGGGCCAAGTGAAAAATAACTTGCCCGGCGCATTATGTCGCTCGTCGAAATGATTCTTTTTCAGCGGCGAAGCTATCGGCAGATGTGCGGGAGTCGTTTTCCTTTTAAATTACGTAAACGAATGGCTGAAAGAAAATTTCCTTCTCGCACGAACGTGATAACAAGTGGTTCTTCGCGCGAAAATCCTCGGCGCGATAACGATGGTAGCGTAACGTAAATCATTTACACACTATCGTGAACAGGTAATTACCCTGCGTGACCCGGGGTCATGCGTATACATCTACGAAATCTAGATCAGACATGAAGTGGAAGATGGGTAAAGTCCATTGGTTCCAACTCGAATTATAAAACTTATTGCGCTGCCTAGTTCCGCTCTGAGTAATCAGATCGCGTTGATAAAAAATCTTTTCATCCAATTTCAAAGGGGATTTAATTACGACGAGCTGCTGCTCCGATGCATTACGATCGCCAATGCGGGCGTTGGCAAATTTACAAATTGTTCAAGAAGGGGAAGGGAGGGAGGGAACCTATCCTATCTCCTAATTCTAATCGAATAGTTTCGTAGATAGGTATTGCCATTCAGAAAATTGACGGTCGTAAACATTCGAGGACGCGAGTTGTTAATCCGGCATGCGAGGACATTACACGATTAATAATATTAACTCTACGAGCAATTAAATATTGCCCGATCAATCGGAACGTTATAAGATAATTGCAACTGTCATTTATCAAACGTGATCTCCCGACGGAAAGACTGTTGGCCAGCTTGCACTTGCCGGTGGAGAAGGTCCGTAAATAAATAAATAACCGCGGAATTAAACAAACGGAATTGTTCAACTTACTAGGGACGACGGAGAAAATGTTTTGGACACTCGCATCGTCATTCGGAAGTGTGTTCGTTCCAGGCACAACCGACACTAACTGCGCGTCTTCGAGGCGATCGGCGTGACGCTGTCGCGCCAGCTATCGAAAGGGCGAGCTTCCCTCGTAGCGTCTGTCGTCGCGACGGCGTCGCCGTCGGCGGCGAAACGCGAGGAAACACCCTGTCTCGGGACGAGGGATCACTCGCGACGGTGCACGGGTCACGGAAATTGAGTCGTTTCACTCACTGGTGTCGGAGTTGTGCACGGGGGTGGTCGCCGGTGTGCTGGGGGCCTGATTCTGCGTCGACTGCGTCGGTATCCCGAGGGAAGCGAGGAGCGGTCGTGGCACCACACCCGGGGTGGCGCTCGGCGGCGGCGGCGGGCTCTCCTGGCCTACGAGCAAGCTCGCGGGCGGGAACCCGAAGAGCTGGGATCACTGGAGCCTCGGCCAATAGTTGCCCGCCAGGTCCGGGGTCTGCGAGGGAATCTGCACCGGCACCGAGACGCCGGCTGATATCACTCCTGGAACAATTCGAGATGTCGGGGGATTGAGCGCATTTGCGACGGCACGAGGGCTCTGTCGAGGCTCTGGGAAACGGAACGGCCGGATAAAAAGTCATTCCGAACGGGCCGAAGCGGTACGGATGCGATACGAGTGACGTCGCTGAACCGTGGCACACGAGAAGCAGAAATTTCATTTTCTGGGGGTATCGCGTTCGGTCACCTCGACCAAAAAAAAACCCGATGGGTTATTCGGAATAAAGTGTAATCGTCTTTGTCGCTTGAAACGTCGCTCGTCCCGCGTACCATTGTTATTTAATGATTTCATTTATTCCACTATTTCGTAACGCCCCGCTCATTATCCTCTTGATTAAGGAAATACAGTTTCAGCGACTCTCGACGGTCGTGTCGCGAGCTGAACGCGTCATTAATCGCGTGAAACGCAGCAGGGCTAATTCGCTAAAAACAACCGAGTACGTATTTACGGAAAACGACACGAAGCGCACTCGCGAGTGCCGCCCGCGGCGACGGTTGCATAAATAGGATTCGGTTATGATAGCACACGCGGCGGCTTCGCACACTTCTGCAATTTGAATTAAACACCTTAACGAGCTACGTCTAATCCAATATAAACTTCCGCGAAAACATTTACGCTCTATGGGACCTCGCGTCGTAACTTCGTTCCTCGCATGAGCTATAATTATGGCATAAATGCAAGATGGGTAATTTGGCGAACGTTACAACGAGGACGCGTGCCATAATTACGTTAACCGTGGAACCTACACCTTTATTCGGTCGAAAATTAACGTGCTGAAAATATCGATACGAGAATTTAATAACGGTGCGAACGTACGAAGAAAGAAAAGACAACGGCAAGCGGCATCTTATCCGTTCGCGTTCCCGACGTAATTCATCGATAACGCCGGGACGCGTTTAATTCAAAGGCGATCGACGTGGTGAAACAATTTCTTGACCACGCGACTTCTTTGACTCCGACATTCAATCGCGCCTCGGTAATCTCCTCGACTCCATCTTCGACTTCATATCCGAGAAACGCTGTCACCTCGATGCCGGGGGTGGGCCGGGGGTGGAGGATTAATCGAATATCCGTGACTTTCTCGTTCGCCACGTCCTCCGCCAACTGCGAGGCAAACTCGCGCGGTTACGCTCGTTTCCGCGGTCGAACCCCGCTAACTCCGGGGGGCGGCTACTTAACTATGAAAACGGCGCCGTTTGAGCCGGCAGGACAGACGCGGCGCTAACGAGCGCGGTGAAAGTCCTTACGGCGCTCGTGCACGTAAAGCGATTATGATGGATAACCCGCGGCTCGTTCCGCACGTAAGGAGCCCAGGACCACGCGGAGAGCAGGAGACGAGCGGCGGGAAAACGAGGGGGGGGGGCGGGAGGGCGAAAGAGCGGAAAGGAAGAAAGACGGTTCCCGCGAGAAGAGTACGCGGGACGGCGAGAGGAACAGCGGGGGGGTGGGACACAGTGCGCGCGTGTTCCGCAGTATTCCACCATTCCGGCTTGCGCTCCGCTCCGTTCCTGTAGGTACGCCGCGCACCCCCGTATTTCCTCCCCTTTGGGTTCGCACGTTATTGAGCGCTCGCCCAGCCGAGGCGAGACCCAACCCATCCACATCCTCTGTTCACCCCTGTATATCCTCAGGAGGGAGAGGAAGCGCGAGAGAGAGAGAGAAAGAGAGAGATGCGGAGAAAGAGGCGAAAGGGAGCGCCGGCGGAGGGTGACGAGAGGGACGGATAGATGGATAGACACGAAGGAGCGAGCGCACCCTTTCTCCCCCCCCCCCGCCCCGAGGGTGGAAGGGTATAGAGGCGAAGGGGATGAGAGAAAGGGAGAGAAGAGGCGACGGAGACTGTGAGAGGAGGCGCGACCCTCCGTGGCTTTCGCTAAACGGAAGACGAGGGGGTGAGATGTGGAGATAGACGGAGAAAAAGGATAATAGAGGAAGAGAGTCGGGAGAGAAAAGAAAGAGCCGAACGCGGAGGAGCCAGCCGGCACGTAAAAAGAGAGAGAGAGAGAGAGAAGTTGAGTCGAGAAAATGGAAAATTCACCAGCTACATCGGCGGGGTTGGAAAACCGCCGAACATCCCATTCTTCGATTCAACCCAGCGGCGCCATGCGAGATTTGTTTTAAAATCCTTTTACAATTCCGTGGGCGAGCGTGGAGCCGCGACCGCGTCGTTGCCCGCTCGCTCTTTATAACTCTCTTTCTCTCTCACTTTTCTCTCTCTCTCTCTCCCTCCCTTGTTCTGTTAGCAGGACTATGTAGATTGCGTGTGAAGAGGCTCCCAGGTAATTCTCGACGCTTTATTTCGCGCTTTGAGCCGGCTAGAACACGAGGAAGAAACGGCGTCCGCGCGCCCGGTGAAAATTGGAAACGAAAACCTCTACTGGTTTTTGGCGAGGATTCGTTCGTTTTATCATTACACTCTCGTATCTCGGTACACGTGTGTGCTTCTCTATATTTTGTATCGATAAACGCACGGACTTTTTAAAATCTAATCTAAGCAATTGGAAAGTTGGGATAGAGTTTTATAGCTGCAGATACGGGGTACACGTGCATCTGCATAACGCTTTGATATTTTTGCCGGGCAATAATGGTATGAAAATTTTGCTCTTGAAATAATTAAGAAATAATGAATAACAAAAAAGCCGATTGCAATGTCAAGTACATTTTTTGATCGAAGGAAAAATTTCAGGAAAAAAATAAATCTTTCAAATTTGACAGAGGATATTTTGTCGTCAATGAATGTTTCGGACATGTACAATACATTTCCTAAGCAACGTGCATACTAATGGCCATTTTGGCAAACATAAATTATTCCTGGCGCTGCCTAAATTATCCTTGAGTAACCTTGAAAGCACGAGGCGCAGGGGACAATTAGTCGCGGCGAGAACTCACCGGTTGCGGTCGAGGTCGTCGGCTGATAAGGTCCTCCACCTGGTCCGGTGGGTTGTCCCCCTGGCGTTGTGGGGGTGCCACCGTGAGACGTCGGGATGCCCCGATGCGGTTGCGAGTGCGCGGCCGCGGCCGCGCTGTGCGCGTGAGAGTAAGACTGCGTGAGCGAGTGGAGAGGCTCGTGAAACACGTACGCCGGATATCCCTCGGCGCGTTGCTGAAGACAGCTTCCACCCATTGACCCGCCCAGGCTGCTTGACATCGAGCTGCGAATGAGAAAAGCGTCCATATTGAAAAACAACCAACGACTCGGCAAACGATATGCATTGGCATGCACGAACGGCGAGCTCTAATTATGCTAATGCGTAATTACATTTGCAGACGGAGTTTCGGGATCTAAAAGGAAAGTTGTTGGGATGTTTATATTGAAATTTTGAGATTTCGTGCGAAGGGTTTAACAAAATGTCAGCGGAATCATTTCAATTTTCGCAACAATGAATAGCAATGCTGTTGTCGAGCCGAGATTGATTCGTGCATTTGAGTAACAATATGTGTTTTACGTTTTAACGTAAAAGAAATTCTCTTACCTGTACGTGTCGGGCATGGTGGCAATCGGCTGCGGTATCGACGAGTACATGGCGTTGAATCCGGCGTTTAAGGGCAACCGTGGCGTAGCAGGGGTGGCCGCGGGAGGCGCGGCGCCGCTGCTACCCCCGCCGCTGCCACCGGCGACCACCTGATCGACGGCGGCCCTCCTCTGGTTCCGTAATTTCTCCTCTCGACGCCACTTCGCCCTGCGATTACTGAACCACACCTGCAACCGACACAATGACGGTGCCTTTGTCACGATAAGTGTGCAGTCGCACACTTGGCGCCGCCGGCACGGTATTTCGCATCATCCGCACTCGTCCGCATTCGCACTCGTTCGCGCTCGTTCACGCTCGACGACTCTCTTCTGCTTCCTCTCCGAGGAGACCGCCCTCACCCTCCCCGAACCACCCTGTTGTCTCGCTCTCTCCCCCTTTTTTTCTGCCTCTATCCGACCGAGGGAACACCCGAGATAGCGCGAGATCTAGACACTCTTTTCGCACATCGTGCGAACAGACGCGCGAGTTTGCACGAGGCGCTCCTCCAATTTGTTAATTGCGATTGAGCGGTTGTCAGACGGGAAATTGAGTTACTCTTGCTCGCTTGGCCCTATCCCGTGCAGCACCCTTCGCTCCGGTCCCTCGTGCATCCTCTTTACATGTTTTTACCTGCCGCCCCTACGCTGGCGCACATTTACCCGCGTCTCTTTTCATGCTTCTGATAGTACTACAAATTGCATCGAGTCCGATATCCGAGAAAGAGCGTACTGTACGTAATATACGTAGTTACAATCGCGCCAGTCTCGCATTAATAGTATCGGGACGGGCCGAAGGTCTCCGATTATTTCTATCTGCGATGCTATTAGTTTTTTAAAACGTCGATTAACTTTAACCTTTATGCATTCAATCGATTCCTTGTTTCTTTACAGAACTATAATTAGAAGGAGATACAGAGGACGCGTCAGAATTATACATATAAAAATGTGACAGTGTAGCGCGAAAAATACTAAGGAATTAATAGCGGCTTCAGCGACTGTCCCTTTACTATGTCGAGGCGATATCCCGAACAACAGAGACTCGTATAATAAAAATGGAGACTTTATCGTTCCCTACGCTACGTCTGCGCGGATTTTCTGATTTTTGTGATTTCTTTCGGCGATAAGAGGATTCGTCCCCTTCGATATATCGGTTTTCCCTCGCCGGCACTTAGAGCAATCCATGAACCGTGCATTTGGCTTTCACATCTTTTTTTTCATGTATACGTGCTGCGATACTGTTCAATAGCGTCAATTTTATACAGACCTACAATTACACGAATGTTGTTGTGTTCTTCAATTATCTTCGTGTACAAAGAAGCATTTTAATGCCATTCTATACGATTGCACCGTACGGCAACGTCTCACGATTCCGAGTGTTGCCACTGACGGATATTGTGCGATTTTTATTCGCGCAGTCACGCGAATCGATTATTAATCGAGAGTGAAGCTCGAATATTAATAAATTGCATTTAATGCCGGTGATAATTGCGATTACAGCGCAAGTTTTTGGAAAGAGTAATCCGCATGCTTTCGCATGCTAGTGCGCACAGATGAAAATAGAGGACAAAGCAATAACGACAATTTCCATTTCTGTCGATTTCGGCGTAACGAATTATCGCGTGTGCGATACAGGAAAAAAAAAGAGGGATGTTTTTCGCAGCGGAAAGAAATGTCATCAACGTAGAAATACAAGCCTTCCGCAATCTCACGTATAACGCCGCGCTACAAGCACGACAGGGGTCCTCGATTGAATCAAAAAATAAATTCTATCCTCCTGTCCTCCCATTGGCGCAGCAAATCGTGTTCGACCACCCCACCGTCAAATATCTGCCATTCGCCCGCAGCGGGCTTCTTCCGCCCAATACTATCGTCCCTCGTAAACTCGTCCTCCCTCGTCCCAAAAACTCGTCCGAATCGATCCGCGCGAAAGTCCGTGATCCGAACGCGTTCGGTCCTTAGTGTTACCTACTCGAAGAACACGGTCTCCTCTCAGTGTCGTCAACGGCCGAGATGCGGCGGCGACCGGTTTCCGACACTGGTTTCCGACCTTGAAACTTTCGACCTTCATTCACGATGTGCCGACTGGAAGCGCAAGAAATTCGCTCATTTATACGCTTCGCCGGTGCTTTCGGAGACTAATGAAGCGTACGAATACTGTCACGCTGCGAAGTCTCACATTTTTACCGATGAAGAGAGATGTAAGCGAGAGGAAAGTAAACGTCTTTATTCACAGAAATTGCCGGGCCGATGTTAATATTGATCTCGGCAAATCTCGCGCGTATCCTAACATCCAGCTTTACGATTTATCATTTGCCCTCGCTTTATCTGGCGTCCCGGGGTAAAAATCCCGCTTTAATCCTCGTAGCGTATCGGCCATCGCGCTCGCACGAGTCGACTTAGGGAATGCCGCGGATGATAATCGGCCGGCGACGTGGCGGTAGTACGGCGTGGCGAATCTCGTGGCCATGGCCGAGGTATATAGGTGGAAAAGCGAGGGATGGGCCAATCGGAGGGCGACCTCCCTGGGGACACGACCATGGTTGCCATGGTTGCGTCCGAGAACCCTCTTAGGCCTTTTGCACGATCCCTCGCGGTTCGGGCGGGCTGCGTTTACATGCCGCGCCATGCCGCGCCATGCCGCGCCGTGCCGCGCCGTGCCGCGCCGTGCCGTGCCGCGCTACGGCGTGCCGCGTAACGTGTTCTATGTTCCATTAGAATTCCCGGCACTTCATTCTTCGTCTTTCACATACCTTCGCCATTCAACGATCGTCCGGCAATCGGTCCGACTCGGCGATCTCCGCGAGTTCCCTCTTTCGTTCTCTCCAGCGAGCTCTCTACTATCTTTTTCTCTCTACCCTCTTTCGGTTTCGCCCCGTCTCCCTCAATCTTCCTTTCTCTCGTTCTCCCTCTTTCTCCTCTCGCTCTCTCTTCCTCGTCGAACTTCTCCTTTTCCCTCCCACGCCGGAACTCCCGGTTTCCTGCACTTAGCAAGATCAATACCAGCCAACGAGGCTTGAAAACATGCGTCAACATGGTCTTGCACTGTTTGTACGTCCACATAACGCTCAGCGCGCCCGGTTACTACACCACACCGAACCCCGCCGGCCACTTCGTCGACCCTTCCGTCTCTTCATACCGCGGTGGTGCAGGTGAGAGGCGGTAGGAGGTGGAGAGTAAACACGGCCAAACAATGTTCGATAAGGCTACGTACGTATTAGCTAACGGTTCGACGTTGATATTAATTATAATTATACAACACGGCATTTTGCACCCCTTGTATGATTAAAAAGTAAAGGGTATTATCGAAATGGGAGAGTTACTAAACAACGTCAACATACATAACGGACACGATTACATACGTAACAAGAACTTAATTGTATTGAAAATAACATTTCTACGTTGTTAATAACTGTTATTATAGAGTAGATTATTATGGCAATGAGACGAATATATAATTGTAACTAACATTGCAACATTGCAATTGTCGATAAAATGCAGCGAATAATGTAATAAATTAAAATAGGACCTTAATGTAATCCGTCGATCCTAGACAACACTTGGACAACGGAAACATTTATATATAAAGGATTGTAAAAACGAAATAAGCGCGTTCCAACAATTTACATATATTCGGAGTTCAAAACGTTTCTAAGTTCTTTATAGGCTGTTTGATTCTTTTAGTTATCGCAAAAAATGAATATTTATTTTTCTTCTACTTTGATTATCGCAATTCTTTTCCCATGTCACATGAAGAATGTAAACTTGCTTTGCGGAAAAGCGATGGCGAACAGAGAGTTCGTGGAAACTTTATGAGGAAACGAACAAGGGTTGCAGTGGTACTACTCACTTTAAATGCAAGATTTTGTGAGTTTTCCAGATCTTATAATTTAAATGATTCTTGGTCTGTCGAGATTCTGTCTCTCGTTTTCCATGATTCTTAGCTTTGTCGACGTAATCAAAGATTCTTCGAATTTGTAGAACTTTCAAGTCCTTCAGAACGTCGGAATTCAATTATCGTTTTGCAGGGTTCCATCTAATAAAACATTTAGATTTGTGGTAACTTTGCTTCCGTATTCTTATTATTTAGCAAAATACGGTCTCGTCTAATAAAGTCTTAGAATCTGTGAGAATACGCGAGGAGGGGATGCAACATAGGATATAAAATTTTCAATACAATTAATGCAATAGTGTCGAAGAAATATATGTTCTAGGTTCTAGCGCATATTTCTAAATTCCACTAAATAAATCGCTCATCAGCCTGTGTCGCAAACCGACGAGAAAAGTCCCGTCCGCGCATATAAGAATACGTAAATGGCGGCGAGGCAGTCGGACGAAAGAGGTGACAAAATCTCATTGGAAGTCTCGCGGGCGGTATCAAGCTCTCACCGTCGGAGGTGTTTAATGTTCCCCACGTACGACCACGTGGCCGCACGTTAAAAGCGTTTAATGAAAGGGCGTCGTCGCACTTACGCCGTTCGACCCTCCCGGCAGGAACGGGCGGAATAAGAAGAGAGAAAGACGCGCCCGGGGAAAACGCTGCGAGGGCGAGAGGGTCGAAGAGAGGAGGACAAGTGGGTGGAGCGAATGTCGGTAGAGGAAGCGCACACACGCCGCATTCGCACATTCACACTCACCTGGATACGTGCCTCAGGTAATCCGATCTTCTCGGCGAGACGCTCCCGTGCAAACACGTCCGGGTAATGTGTCCGCTCGAATTCTGAAACGAAACCAGTTTGCAACAAGTGCTCGTTATTTAGCCGCGTCGTCGGCATTAATTATCGCGATATACACGAAGCTTGCCGGCCATCGCGTATTTTCATTCGACCGAGCGGATGCCGGAGACTAAATGGGAAAGAATCTCGATATATCGGAATGTATGTGCCGATGGCTTTTGTATCGTAAACGAGCGTACCGAATTTTTATTTGAAGTTCAAGCACCACGAAAAACCTATAAGCGAACGAGCATTATCCAATGGAATTTAAATAAAGGGGACCCACCATGGAAAAAGAATCCAGTCGAAAGAAAGCACGTGATTTTTTTTAAGTCGTGCGCACTAGAATTGATTATCGAGATTGATGTTTTTAGATTTTCTACTAACCTTTCTCGAGGCTGTCTATCTGCTCGTTAGAGAAGGAAGTTCGGTTGCGCTGCAATTTCCTCTTCAGCCTCAGCCGCACTTGCGAGTCCTCGTCGCCAGAGGAGTTGTGCTCCGAATTACCGTCCGAAGTTGTCTCTTGCTGATGCGACAATAGAGATCCGGTATCTGGAACAAGAATTAATTATCTTTCCCTCAAATATATTGCTTCGGCCATCTTAAATAAAACTTTCATATTTAGGATTACACAATAATGTTTAATATGTTACATCGAAGCGCAATCATTTCGTATGTAACAAAACTGGCGTTCTGTTTTTCAAACCGTATCAAAGCGCCAATTATTTTTCCGTCACCTAATCAACAAAGATCGATCGTTGAAAATCTCCGGTGTCTCGCTCGCATTTTGTGCGAGGCATCGCGATCTAATTAAAAAAAAACCCCCGCTGTTCCGCGGTACATCAATTGGTCGATCCCGTAACGCGATCCGCCGTTCTCGAGATTCCTAGACACCGCCGCGCGTTCAGGCGTGCGCGACCGGTCTTCGGGGTCGCGTCTCGTGTTGGTGCGTCGGTTCGTACGTGCGCAAGGGTAGCCCCTCGTCAAGCCCCGTGGGCCGCGATTACTTTCCGCCTCCGCGCACCACACCCTCGTCTCTTTCCATTCCTCCCGGTACCTTCCCTGCGTCCCTCCGTGCCTCCGCTCTGTCCGTGTCCGTCCCTCCGTACGGCAGCGGAGAGATGTACATATATACTTGCGCCCTTACGCTCGCGTATATAGATATGTACATATGTATTACATGTATATGTATATATATATTTCACACACACATATATGTAATACATATATATATATACATACACCGTTCGTTCGTCAGCTGCTCGCTTTCTCGTTCGCTCATCTCAACCCCCGCGCAACCCCCAATTGGACTCGACCCTGCGAAACCCCCTCGACTAGAAATACCGGCACCCCAAACACGCCTCTTTCTTTCCCTCCGGTTCTTCCTGTCTGCCTCATCGTTTCAACCATCAGCTCCCGCTTCTTCTTCTCCTTCCCGCGGAACCCACCCCCAAAATCTCCTCGCGAATATCCCTGCGCGTAACGACCAGGCCGGGAACAATCCTCGGCGGTCCGCTGCAGACGGATCGTTGGCTTTAATTTTCTAGGTGACGACGCACGCCCGGCGAAGAAAGAGAAGAGATTAGCCCGATGCTCTCTACAATCCGGCCGCCTAATGCGCCCGCTGTGGCCAAAGTGGCCGCGATCGACCGTTCGATGCATTCTTGTGCATCCAAGTGTACGCTATAAGCGGCACTTTGACGTATCCAGTAAGGCATAAACCACTACCTTATAAGTGGCGACCGAGACATACCTTTAATACAAATTTTTGAAAAATTGTTTGCCCTTTGGTTTACATTTTACTTATTTGCGTCATTATCGTCATGCGAAGTTATTTTGTACGTAAAGATGTACTTTGATATTCTAATAGAGATATATTAGAATATTTATTTCCGTCAGGATAATCGGATCGACATGTATAATTAAAAGACAGTTTCCAAAAAAAAAACGGAAATGAGTTTCAAGACTACGGAAAAGCATCAATGATGGTATTTCGGGATCCGCAGAGAATACGCTGCCAGTGAAAGCACTTTTCTACCTGTTACTTTATCACGATTCACGTAATCTGTCTATTGAGGGCGGTCGCATCTGGGTTCGTCATTCGTGGAGTGATTCTAGTTAAGAACCGAGCCGCAGCCCCGATTTTCGTGATCCTATTAGACTTATAGTGCTGCAGGATGGACCCTTTTTCTCTACTCGACCGCGATGTGCACGTACGTGCATTGTGCGAGGTGTCGAGGATCCGGAGTCGCATAATGCAACGTACATTTCTCACGAATCGAGAGAGATGATACAAGTAGAGAGGATGTAATCGTATCTCTTTAAAAGCAAGATCGTAATTTTGGTCTGCAAAGGCAAACGTTCGTTGAAATTGTTATCAATTTGAACTTTAATGTTAAAATTATTATAGGAATTAGCTTTTGAAAGAAAAGTCATTGTGATCATGACGTAAAATTATTTATAGATTTTGTCTTTCGTTATTTGAAAGGTAAACTTGATTTAGAGTGAAAGCCACCAGGGAGATAACTAAGCGTGAGTCTGCATGGTCTCTAAAATGATAATCAAGACAACTAATAGCGAGTCTCCTAATATTTCCGCAAGCGCTTGATTGTGATGGAAGCAAAAGTAAATTCCAACTTACCGCTTCGCTTCAGCAAGGAATCGTCACGCCCGTGAAGCTGACTACTGGGCAGAAGAGTCTGGCCGGATCCGGGAGTCGCCGCGGATGGAATTCCCGTGGCCAGGGGATGATGCGGAGGTGTTGCCGAATACCACGCTGGCGGCCAGCCTGCTGCCTGCCCGTTAAACATTCTCAGCTTGTCGTAGACGCTCTCAGCACCCTGATGCGCTTGCACCGCAGCCGCCTGTTGCTCCTTCTGCGAGGCCAGGTTCCTGAGTACCCTGTTAATGGACGACACCTACGAAATTTTCAATTAGAATCAATTCGAATCACTTATTCGTTCCAATTCTGCGAGCATTAAGAGAGTGCCATAAAAAGATACCGCTAACTGTCTGCGGTTTTATCCAAATTGCCGACAACTATTCTTATGGCAATTAGAAGTAAATTCGTAACCGTCACAATTTGATTTCTGAGTCTCTTAAAAATATAGTACAAATTATTTGATATGCAAATTATATCTATTTATTTTTCTTATAAATCTAAAGTTATTTAAAGAATGCATTTTAATAGTTAAATAATCTTTTTAATTGATAATGAGTGGAATTTCGATTCCGACAAATGATTCCTCGGCAATTCACGTAAAATTATTAAGGCGCGAAGATCCAGCTCGACCGAATATGGTCTATCTCTATTGGGGTGTACAGAATTTTTAATACTAAACATCTCTAAATATAATTCGATTAATAATTTACGTATCTGAGAAACTCTTGACTCTCTAATATTAATTAATCTCTACAAATATTCATAATTCAGAAACTGTTGAAACAATTATCATGTTGCCAATTTTGCCCCTACTATTCTTACAATTAGTTTCGAGAAAAAACGAGCGATTGAGAGAAAATGTTGCATTGCTTTTCGACACTAATGATGCGTGGCGATGTATCCGAGACAAGATACTTCCATCGTCCGTTCCTGATCAGAGGAAAGGAAGACGGAGGCGAAAGAGGCCGGCGTGGCGGATCGGGGCGGGTTCTTTGTAAAATCTCGCAACCGCAGCCACTCGTCGTCGCACGAGAATCATTTCCGTCGTAGCTGCGCACTGATTGTCCGTCCTTCGCCCCTTGCGCGGGATCCTTCTTCCTCTTTTTCGTCCTCCCGCAGTCGCAGAATGCGAAGGGGGTCATATCCAGATGAAAGGACACCGCCATCCAATTATTATTACATAAAACGGTCTCCATGGCTCTTCGTCCCCTTCCAATCCGTGGAAAGGTCGTCATCGTTGTCGTCTTCACCTTACGCCCGCAACCGAGCCACTGGCTAACTCCAAAGTTATAACGAGCCGGCGTATAGCACAGGGATCCAAGCTCTCAACTTGTACATAATGGTCCTCGGCGCGCTCCATACACGCGCCAACCCCATCCTCCACACCCTTCTGTAATCGACGCCGAGTTTGGTGCAGCAGCCGGATATACACGACCGTTAATGCAGCGCGGACGTCGGATATCGAGCGCAGCTTCTTAATTACGAGGTCGACAAGCTTCGACGAGAACGGCATGAGTGCGCAAAGCCGATCCTTCTCGCATAGTTTGAGTCAAAACCGACGGAATAATGGCCTGGCGACGCCGAGGGAACGTATCCGTTAGAACAGCGCACCGCACGGCCGTCCATTAGAGCTGAATTAAAGACGTGGAGCTCTGATTTCGATGCTTTACTTGTATTCGGGTACATTCGAATATCGCGCCTCGCTGTAATACCGAAGCTTCGTATGTAAACGCACCATGATGAAAGTAATCAGGATGTATGAGAAAAAGTAGAATCTTGTTTAAATCCCCCACGATTGGTGTATTAGAATATTGGGAAATGTCGATCTTCATCGATCACGCCCGGAGCTCATCGAGCGTGGGCAACTTCCACCGTCTCGACTTATTCCAACGCTACGAGACAGTAACAGGCGAATAGCGGAAGCGACGTTTCGAGACGAGTTAGCCCCGGCTAACCCGGACCAGGCTCTCCGTCATCAAACCGTCTATCCAGCCTGGATGCCGGGAGAGAGAGATCCCGGCTGTACGCTCCGGACCGCTCCACTCTCACCGCACAACAGCCGCAGCGTCGATGCAGGCCATTACACGCGCGACCGGACACGAATAATTGTGCAACACGCTTAACTGATCCCATTCACCCTGATTCTACCCGCTCCCGTCCGCTCTCGCCGCCGACTAACCCCGCGCGCACCCCCGACACCAACCCCCGACGCCATGTGTACCAGCCGCAATAGCCAACGTCACCGCCAATGCTACCAGCGATCCACCAGTAGTCGAGAAAAGATTGAAACAAACGAAAGAACGATCTGTCGATCAAATAACGTCTCCCCTCTTGATGCTGACGTGGAATTATTCTCAAAAAGAAATCTAGATTGATTTTTCTCATTCACTGATTTCAACGGATTCGTGTGTTTATTATAGATTCGATATTTGACCATTTCATTATTTTAAAGAAATTGAAAAGATACATTGTCGTTAATAGAACGATGCTTGTGACTTCAGAAAAATGATGGATAATAAACGTTTTAACGGGTGAGATATATTCCTGGTCATTAATAGAATGACGCTTGAGAGAAAAATATACGATAAACCGTTAAATGTATTAAAAGGTGAGATAAATTATAGAGGAATGTTCTGAAATGTAATCTCGCCACTGGTCGGCGCATTACACGCCTGACGACAGGAGCGCGTGCTAGACGTTCTGATTGATCATCCTGGAGCCCTCAACATCTCCCATCAACCTTCTTCATTCGGTTCCTAGGAATACATCGACAAAAGCGAGTTTGCTCCACAACCCGGTGGATAACGACTTGTACGCGTGCCATTCCCCTCGGTATTCCTGGCGGGCAGTCGATAGAGGGGATGCTGCTGGCGGGGAGAGCGTCCTCCGAGGAGCTAGACGAGGACGATCGACCTTGGAGGATATTTCGCGCGGCCGAGAAGAGAGATTGGGTGGGCAGGATGTTTGGTAGATGGACGGACGTACAACCGGAGAGGATTCTTCGGGTTCGGAGAAGGGCGATCAGCGCCCGGGAGGGTGGACAATGCCGAGGTCCGCGTAATGGACCGATTACCCCACCCAGTCGATCGTATTGACGAGACTTTGATTAGGGTCGAGTGGCCGGATCCGACGGGTAAGTACACCCGACCGGCTGCGCGCCACGATAAGTCGACGGCGGATTACGCGTAAACTTATACCGTATCTAATCAATGGTGTGGCGCCAGCACAGCGGGAAATTTATTCGCACGTCGCGAGTTTATGCGCGAGACGAGAGGATCGGCGCGTGCAACTTTGAGTGATCCGCTCGCCTAAACTTGCCTTGTCCCGATCTACCTGGCGCGTTACGTTCGGTCAAGATGTTTGCCAATCACCTGACAGTCTCCGCGTATAATCCTAAATTAAAAATATCCTACAGTCTCTCGACTCTTGTTACTTACGCTGGGAATATTGTCGTTATTGCAAACGCCCTCTTGCAGAAGTCGATCGCGTATCTCCCAGGCGAAGATCGAGGGACATTCTCGTTTGTAGTCGGCGATTTTGTTGACCACAGGCGTCGTCGCCACTCGTGGCTTGCTACCACCAATCGCCCGCGGCTTGATTGAGCCGGTCTCGTAATACCTGCGAGAAAGATTATTTTCTCTTAATGCGTGTTAATTTACGTCAGTAGCGCCGGATCTCTTTTAAGCGTGGTATTGAAAAAAAAATGCGAGTCTTTAAACGGGAAATCATTGGATGAAAGCTAGCTTTATTAATACTCCGCAATTTGCAGGAACTGTGTTATATTCACGTGGGCATTCACGGGGGTATTGCTGTATGAAAAATGAAGATATAACGTAACGCACTCGCTTATTATTACATATCCAATTATTTTTAAATCTGTAGCGCGAATACATCACTAAAAATAGAGGGAAAAAAAGTCCCGTGAATTCCGTCGCAAATTTATCGATTGGCCGCTAATTGCATCGAGGAGATGCGAGCGGTTGTGTCTTGCGGCCATTGAACCCGGTTCACCGGATCCAAGTAAACAATAGCAATCAAATTCCGTTGCTGTACAAGCCTCGCGGAACGGACGAATTTCCGGCACGCGCTCATCCGCGATTTCGCGGGAAGAAGCCCGTGGCGCGGCGCGGTGCTTACCTGCCGAGGATCTTGGAGACGCAACCGTTGCTGACCTGCAGTATGCGCGATATGTCGCACGGTCTGGCCCCGCTGTGGGCCAGCTCGACGATCTTCTGCCTCGTGGAGTCCGGCAGCGGTCGGCCGTTGACGTAAACGCCACCGAGCTGGTTAACTCCGCTGTGTCCTGCAGCCGAGCACCCAAATATTGAGTTCTGTCCGACCATAGAACCCCCGCCAATACCCACACCACCCCCGTGCATCAAGTCCTCCTCTGTGAATCAAAACGCGCGCAATGTATACGTCACCTCTCGAGAACATCTGATTGGTAAACAGCGGATAGTACGCGCGCCGTACGCGTTCTTATTAGTCTAATTAGCGCTCGCGCCCGTCGCACGGATCCGGAAGCGTTAGATTGAACACCAAGGGAGATGTTTGCGTCGCGATCACACGGTCCGCCGCCCTGCGGATGTTACGTAACGAAGATCAGTTTGACCCTTGCGCGCCGATTAATTCGCTGCCGTGTACCTTATTACGGATACATCTGCGTACGGTACGTAACGTGGCACGGAGGAGTCGCCGAAACGGAAACATATCGCGTAGATACGTGCGATGTTGGCGACGACGGTAATTGCGACGCGAGTGGACAATGGCAGGGTATAACGAATAGATATACGGTACGGTATCGTGTAATTCGATCATTACGTGGGAGGCTTCAGAAATTGTAACATTGTTGCGATGCAGTCTACAGTTGTAGGTGCACGCGTATAAACGAAAATGCGTTCGACTTGCCCGGGGAGCGCAGTGTCGGTGAAAACAACCCGAAAGGCACTGGATCTCCTGATGAATAAAACGGCTTTTCACATGTGGGTAAAGTGAAGCTTTCAGCTTGTCTCATCATTTTGTTAAATTCCCGTGGTGCGTCTTCGTCGACGCGGGTAGAAAAAATGCAGCGTGAGAATGTCCGCGCGCGCGGATGACGCGGGGGACGCGAGAGGAGCCGGCGTTACTAAATGCATCTTGCAATTAACAAATTTAATTAATTCCCGCTTTTACGCCGCGCAAAACGACAAGAAATAGTTGGAATGTAATCTTGGATGGCTCGCCCCGCCTTTGTCGCTGTGCGAAATCCACTTCGTAGGACGACGCGAAGTGGTTTTCTCGCTCGCTGTCTCGCCGCCTGTCCCTCCCTTCTGTCCTTACGCCATTTCTGTCGTACCTCATTTTCACCGATGCGAGAGGATCGGGGATCGCCGCATCTTACGATCAATCGACGTGTTGTAAAAATGTAAAAGGACAGAAGGTCCCTCGATAGAAAATCACGACGACTTTTCACACAGAAGCTAGTAAGTTTTAATGATGGCAATCATTGAATCAGATCGTATGTGAAATAATTATGTTTTACAATGCACCCGTATTTGCGTAAATTTGAAATTCCCAAAATTAATGCTAAATATTTGGAGATTCTTTTTATGCCAACGTTCACAATTGACCGTCCGAATCTCGAGTTTTAATCTCTACATAGATTCGCCTCTGACGGGTGGCTTTTTTCACTCGTAACTATCCGCTGGCAATAATAGATCTATTCTAGAATTCTGCACTTATTGCGGAAGGTTCCCCGGCTTCAGTCGTCCCTGCATTATAATCAGAGCTTTTTAAGCGAGCTTCAAGCATGCTGAAAGGAATGGAATATGGTGATGAAGAACGAGAAGCGAGAAATTGGAGTCGAGAGTCTTGTTACAAATAATTCCGCGGCGAGGCAATGCGGAAATTTTCGAGAGGATGCTTCTTACCCCTCCATTTTATCTTACCCCTCTATCCGGATGCCACGACTCACAAATGCAAGAAGAGAGAAATGTCATCCTTTTTTTTAGGACGCAATGTTGTAACTGTATTTAATTTCGATGGCCTCTTATGCGACAAAACGATGGTAAAAGTTTCGAAATATATTGAGAAATATCTTACAGAGTTTTCAAAGAATTTAGAAAAGGATGAATGATTCGGATCGGTTCACGGCGACCGATTACGAACGTAAGAGTGCAATATCAATGATTTTACAGAGAAGGGAATTGATCTTCGTTATCGATTTGTCGATCGTAGTCGGCACCGCTTTCCGTGAACTTTGTGCCCCGGTGAGTTTAAAGTTCCTTTGATTACGCGCAAAGCAGATGATAACGATAAGAGCGAGGCATTTTCCTCAAACCAATTAACGCGACACTCCTCGCAATTTCTTTTACGATGAGCTAATGAATATTCATCCTTTGCTCGAATTAATAAGAGCACATAGATGTCCGCGAATACGTGCAGCTGTCACGTTTCTGGAGGGGTACATCGTGGAATTATAATTTCTACAGCGTATCATTCCATCGTGACAAGACGTACCGAAGAGCCTCTTGCTAAATAATTTAATAATTTACTTGGTGTGTCGCGATTCAATTTTCAGACGATAATTGGCAAAGCATTATTCAGACATAGGCGAGTACTATCCGAAGACACTTGATCCTTTCGACAGAGTAATTCCTGTTAAAAATAGGCGACGGTGAAAGCGAGGACGCGTCGCGACGGCCTCGTCCTTTGAAGGGACGGCGCGCAAGTCTGTGCTGTTTTTCACAAGTTTAATTCGTTACAAAGGGGACAAGTGTGCACGACTTAGCTGTAAACGTATACGCGCGCGAGATTCACCCTTTCGCTCATCATCTTTTGCCTGACGCTCTCCTCCCCAGAGGGGGGAGGCGGCCACCCCCGACAGAGGGGGATGATGTCGGCGAGAGGGCTCGAATATCGCCCGAGCCCGACGCCGTCGACCCGTGCACACACCCGCCGGCCGCACACATTCTTTATATATAATTTCGCGTTAATCTACGCGGCGGTGCGGCGCAAAAGCGAGTCGCGCCGCAAAGTGAGGCAAAAAGGTTCCACTTGGCTGAGCGTGAAACGGGACACAGATTAAATCCCATCCTGTGCAACCCCGGCGCACGACGTCGCGGCACCCTCGTCCTCCCCCCGGCCACCCCGCGTCAGTTCGCTCGGTCGAGCCACCCCTTGCCACCCTCGCCAAACATCCCCCTCCTCCGTATCCCCCGCGCCGGGCGAGAGGCGGTCTTTAAGCGCGAAAACGATCGCCAGTATTTAAGATGCGCGAATAGACCCGACGAATCGATGTAACGTTTCACGCTAGTCGACTTGGTAATTGGATCCTCAATGGAATCCTCGCTGGGTCCGCTTGACAGCGGAAACGGAAGTTAACCGAAAGATTTATTTGCTGGAGACGTTGCGTCTCCTCGAGGCGTCCCTAAGCGTAAGAAATCGCCCAAGTGTTGGCGGCACGCTCCGAAATTTTCGAGGCACTTGATCAACCTCCGTGAGTCACTGTGTACGTACCCTAGACGAACAAACATTAAACCCGTTGGAAAGGAACGATTGATCGTTACCCGATAATAGAAACAAAACAGCTCAACGGAGCGGCTAATGCGCCACTCCAATTTCCAACGATGACGGAAAGTTTGCAGCGGAATAGTTGTTTAATGGGATGTAATAATAGTTTGCGGGTAATTAGTCCCGCGTTGCGACTCGAAACCGGCCGAACGTAATCAGTTACAGAGTACGTCGGTCCGAATTTATTTAACGAACTGCTGTTTATCCGCCGACATCCATAAAAAATATCGCTTTCGCGGCCAAATTGCTTTCACCTCTCGTCGTTGCGTCGCGCATACGCTAAATAATATAATTATGCGCGCCGACCGCATTAATTAGACACATAAATCGTCCAACTCTCTGAGCTTGATATAATAGAAGCGATTACAAAACAGATATTTCGGTTGCGCGGTAACACAAAACGTATTATTAGACTGCCGGTGATGGAAAAAAAAAAGACACGTGGAGTCTGCCGCGGTCTGACGGCATACACAATCGGAAATTAACGAACGTTTACTGCGACTCAATTATCCCAGTCATTTACATTGAAAATTAAGACAAACGCGACGGGAAATAACAAATAATTTGATAAACAATTCGTCGCGGAAGAGAGGCTCGCTCTAAGGAATTTTGCTGCGAAACCGACGTCGCGTTAACGTGTGCTCCATCGCTCAACACTTGCAAGATCCAGTCGCGCTTATTTCCGGCGATAGCCCCGGAGTCTGTTGTACGCGGCGTAACGTCGCGTCGGGTGGTCCCAGGTTGACGCGTTTGTCGAGCGTCGACCGGCTAAACGTTATTATCACGTCGGTAGAGATTCTGAAGGATGAGCAAACCGGGGAGCGAGGAAGAGGGGAGGGGGGCAGGGGCACAGCCTCCGAGCGTTTCGTGATAAACTCGCCGAGTACCGCGGAGTGAGAGAACTTCATCTCGTGCGCGTCTTTCAACGACATCAAAGATGGCGTGCCAGACATACGCTCTCTAATGAGTTGAATCGCGGTAAGAGCGCCTCGCGCCCGCTTCTCGAGCGACGACGAATTCATTACGGACGGTGTTAAGAGGCGACGGCGCAGTATTAGCAGCCGCCATCCCCCCCCCCCCCGGGTAGCGCATACTCATTACCGCGCCCGTTATTATTGACACCAGTGTGTAAGGGTTGGCTCGCGCAAGTGTGTGTCTTCTCGTCGTAGCTTTTCGCGGGTAAATACCGAACTCGTGGCCGCGGGGCTGGTAATCGTACGCTCGCGTTCGTTACTATTCACGGATAACAAGATGCTTCACGCGGGAATACGCGAGATAACGCGATAATCTCGGCGCCGCGCCGCGCGACGATTAAATAAGTTTTGCGCCCGGTAAACGGGATAACGGACCGTGAAATCCCGACTCGATAAACGGCTCGTTGCGAAACGAACTATTGTCGTAACGAGCGAAGGCGACAACAATCCTCGATATCATCGAAGTAATTGGCCTGTCGTCCGTTCGCGGTCTTGTCACATCGTTGACACATGATTTTGAAGCCTTTCGTCAGCCAGTTGGATCCAACGTTTTCCACTTGGCAATTGCGAGTGAGACGCGTCGCGCACGTGTTGCAGCAGATCTAATGGCTTTTAATCAACCTCTACGGTGTAATGATTAATTGGTCGCCTCGCGTACACGAGACGTCCCAGAAATCGCGTGCAATTACTCTCTAAAAATCAATCAGTGGATTGTCGCTGCAAACGGTGGAACAGTCGCCGGTTTACAGTTACAAGTGTACCACTGCGATTTTCCATCCTATACTTATAACTGCAAATCAACGACTGTTCACTGTTTTTCAGTGACAATACGCTGGTTGACTTTTAGAGAGTGCTTCCAAATGAAATGGAATGCCGCATCTTCCACCGCGATATGCCGGCGGCCACTTGGACCGAGGAGCCAAATTCCGGCGCGCATTCGACCACCCGCTCCCCTACATATACCTACGGGCAAAAGTTATCGGCGTGCCTCGCGGACGTATTGCGGAGCCCCGTGGTCTCTATTGATTGGTCGCGGGGATAATCCCGCGCCGTCGACATTTATTACCCCCTTGGAGCCGCGGAGGCAGGTAATCTCCGCAATCTCGGTGCTCTGGCACGCGCGAGATCCGATCCCTGAGCCCGTAACCAACGCGCGCGCGCGCGGGGCCCATAACCATTAACAAATCTCGTGTAGCGACGAGAACGAAATAAAGCGCTCTCGTGAATCGGCCGTTTGATTCCAATAGCTACCGGGGTTTTTATGGAGAACCGAAGTAAGAGGAAACGCGCGCGCTCCTCTCTCTCTCTCTCTCTCTCTCTCTCTCTCTCTCTCTCTCTTTCTCTCTCACTTTTTCTCTCTCCCCCCTGATACATACATATAGCACACGGGAGAAAAAGAGAGAATGCGAGAGGAGGCAGACTGGTGGTTGGACGAATGAAAGAGGGGCGCGCTCGTGCCACGCGAGCATTGTCCGCCTCTGCACACGAATGCGAGGAGGGGGCATTATAGGAAGGGAAAGAGGGGGAAGGGGGAAGCACTTACCCTCCTACAAGTCCCATTATGATCTCGCGTGGGCCATAGCCCACGTAACGCGATCCCGCGTCTCCGTTCTCGAGCGAAGTGTGGGTAAACTCCTCGACCGGAGAGAAAGATTACGTTGCGCCGAGACAAATTGGCGGTGTAAGAGCGGGCCCCCCCCCCCCCGCTTATTGTCGGGGGGGTACGAAGGAAGGGAGGAGGCAGCCTAACCGATTGTTGCCGGGTGTGCTGGCGCGTTGGGGTCGCGAGGACGAATCTCTCGAGGTGCAAGAGAGGGCCTCCACCCTTCGCCTCGGCGGAGTCGCTGGCGAAGGGGCCGCTGGCCCGACAGAAGCCGACCAAAGGCGTGTCAAGTTACCAACTAACCCCCGGGGGTAACCGCGAGCTCACCTAAGCTCATAAGCGTACGCGTATTTACTCGTCCCGTCTCTCGTATAACTCATCACGAGTTCGCTGGAAGGGTTGCAAACTTATCGAAACCATCTCTACCTTGAGAAAACTTTGATCCGTGTATGTTGCGATTTGCTTGTCGCCATTAGGCTAAGGGTAAGATGAAGCGTAATGCGACGACACACGAGGGTCGACGCGTGTTCGAGCACTACCTGCTCGAGCATCGTCCGCGGATGGCAACGCAACGATATAACACAATATTCGCCGCAAAAACAAACGATAAAGTCATGCACTGGTCGAGTTGCTGTCGTCCCAAAACTTGAACATCAATTAGTAAATACTTTATTCTGATGCTTGAGATCTTATGAACCGAAGAAAATTAGGCGCGACGTTACCTATTTGATATTTGCTAAACAACGTGTAATCCTTAAAATATATTTTTAGAGAAATCTTATATTACCCAAGTTCTCTTAGAGTTGGTGCGAGGTAACGCGATTGATTCTTAACTAGGTCTGCAAAATGCGCATACTTGTGAGTTAATGAACTTGGATTGATTACTGCAATCGCTTCTTACTCTATTTAACTTGCCAAGTGAGTCAGACTGCAAGAAGCCACTATAGTTGAAGAACCCGCGAAAACGCGCGACAGTCCGGAAATTTAGACAAAAAAAGGACCAAAGTTTTCTTCGTCTCATTCAGCTTGACGCAATCGGTATTAGCGAGTGGGCCAAGTTTTACACAAATTTGTTCAATTTTCTTGCGTTTCCGCTTCTGCTCTAACACTTTCTTTTTTTATAAAACGCCCTGTATATCGTAACTGATTTTTCCATTATGATAATTGAAATATCTTTTCGCAATCTATCGCATTCACGATGAAATGCGATGTTGCCCCGATCAACGCTCTGCTGACACTACGCAATTCGGAATACTATTTCAATTTCTGCAACTCTTTCTTTATTTCATCAGTTTTGAATATTCTAAGAGAAGCCAATGGTGTTAAAAAATCTGTTCTTGAATTTAATATAAAAGAATTGTCCACATTGAACTTTATTGATCAAGTCTCATTTTGACTAGCACAGTTGCGAAAGAACTGCCTTAAACAAAGTGTTCGGTAATTGACAATTGTTTCCTCGCGGGACAAACCAATTATGGTTCTCGCAAATGACCCCGTCCACCGGCAAGAGTTTTTGCCGGCAATGCTCATTTGCCGAGCGAATTTAGAAAATCAGCCATTTGTTTGCCGATTATCGACCACCGGCCGCGTCAATACTATCCCGGTGAATCGCCAAACACCTCGTTCTCTCGCGCAAATGAAGTGAACCGTTTCCACCGACCTTTATGCGGCATCTTCCAAAAGGGCGGCTCGGGGGTGGGCGAGCAAGGGTTAGCCACCCCCGCGCCCAACAGGGTCCTTGCCGCGTGCAGCGCCGCCGCCGCCGCCTCCCTGCTCCGCACTGCCGCAGCGCTCGGCGGGTATTCCGGAGCGCTGTCACTTTCGGCGATGCCGCCGCCACCGCTACCTCCGCAAGGACGAAGGTGCAGGCTCAGCCGACCGCTGCCGACCGTGCCACTGCCGCCTCCGCCTCCGCTGCCGCCGCCGCCGCCGTCTCCACCGCCGCCACCTCCGGCCACGCTAACACAGTGCTGAAATCATTCGGAATGGCTCGGTCAGGCTTCCACCCGCTGCAATCTGCCTTTAATTACACGCTTTTGCGCCTAATCCGCTCGGAATGGAAGAGAGTGAAAGAGTATTGATTAAATAATATCGCGTGTCCACTTTCGAGTAAATACACTTGCGCCGCACGATACGACGAGGATGAAGATACGTCTACTGATCGGCGGCGCGCTCCTTCCTATAAACCTGTTCAATGTGTATCATATGCCTTTGTGCCAACTTTTCTCGCCGAGGTTTTTGCTCTTTAACTTTCTCCGAAAAGTAAACGCAATCTTATTCCCATTAAAATGATATCTTTACGATTGTATACACAGGTAACGTAATATCCTCAGGAGCAAGTTTCAAGAGAGGAGGAAATACTAATAACTCCCCTCCCCCCCTCCAGCGCGCTTCCTTTGGAGCAAAAAATAAAAGTGGAAAAATCCTCCATCGTTTTCACAAAAAAAAAAAACGACATGTTGATCGCAAACATGTTAAAATTCGTATAACATGTTATAACGCGGATACCATATTATCGGAGCTGGATAATATCGCCGATAATGCCGTAACTCTCACGGGGGAATATATCGCTGCGCGATGATTATTTAGTGCGGAGCGCGATCAAAAACCAATTTCGGGCGTAACGACGTAACGTATCGGGAGCATGGATTATTAACAGACGCGGGCGCGTTTCGATTTACAATTTCGCGTCGTTCTTAATCGCATTGCGAAATTTTTACTTGGCGATACGCGAGAAAAAAGGCGTTGCGTAAAAACGAAAAAAATAGAAAAAAAACCCCCCGCAGCGACAACAACAACAGCCGCGGCCAACGACGGCGGCGGATCGCGTAGCCGACGGCGAACGGCGAGCCGGTGTTAACGATTAACGCTGGCGCGCAACGGCCGAAATAATTTTACATACGTACGCAATAATTTTATAAATTCACGGCAATTTACGAAAATTCAATTGATCCCTATACCTTTCCGCAGCGCGACGCGACCCGGCGCGACGCGTCGCGACGCGGCGCGACGCGACACGATGCGTCGCACACGCCCTTCCGCGCGCGTAAATAACGCGGCTTCAAAGAACATAATTCGGGGGATTATCGCCCGCGAAGCGCGGTAAATATTGGCGCCGTCGAAACTGGTTCGCCAAAAGCAAATTTCAAAGTGCGCCAAAAAATAAATAACGCCCGGGCAAATAATAAACATTGCCGTGTCGGCGGTAAATTTCCGAATTTTTCCAAGGCTGATTACGTCCCGCATAAATTTGTTCGTATTACTTTGCGCGCCGCGTACAACAAATCGAAAATTATGCGCGCGGCGCGGAAGAAACGCCGGCTGTCTTGTACGAAAACGCGCCGCTTTTCGCCGTCGGGTTCGCAACGCTTGTCGCGGAGGTGATTTAATAATCGTGAATAAATTTTAGATATCGATACGTTGCATAATATTTCATATTCCGTAACAATAAATCACTGTATTCGTAAACGTGCGGTGTTATTACTTTCTGAGATTACACGTTGACTTTGAAATAACGCATATTTATCAGTGGTTATTCTATTTTTGAAAGTGCAAATCGCGGAAGATTACGTATGTGCATAGACAACGAGCACCATTCCTAACGGAACGCACGACATTTGCGCGCAACCCTATCTTCTATTTATCAAAGCCTCCCGATAATTGGCGCGGAGCAACATTCTTCATAAGCAAAAATAATTAGCGTGCGCGTGCAAACGACGCGACGGTATTTTTGGAATCGAGACACGTCGAAATCCGCGTACGAGAAATCATCTAATCACCGTCGCGCTATCGAACACCTGCCGTAACGTCTTCAACGATCCCTGACGATCGAGAGATCCGACGTGCGCGCGCGAAGTGGCTGCGAGCGCAGCGCGTCTATGCGCATTCCGGCGTGCCCCTCGTCTCATCACGGTTAATCATCACACGCCGGCGTGCGTCGGGACGAGCGTTAATTGTCATTCGGCGAGACTCGTAGATCATTAGCTCCTTTCAAGCCCGGTCGCGGTAACGTCACGACGGCCGACGGCAAAGCGGGGGACATCAATACCTGCGCGCCCGGCCGGATCGAAAAGTGCAAGCTGTAAAGCGGCGAGCCAAGGGTCGTTAAACGTGGTCGACCGCGAGATCATTCCGCGTCTCGTCGCGACTCACTCCCGAGACCCTGCTTCTCCAAGCAGAAGGGAGAAAGAGAGAGAGAGAGAGAGAAAGAGAGAAGAGAAAGATAGAGAGAGAGAGAGAGAGCGCTCGTATTCTCCCGCTCTACCGAGATCTCGATTGGATCTACACTGTCAAAACGCGATTTTGCGCGACTGGCGAAGGGATAAATAATTTAGTCGTTGATACTTCATGTCCTGCAACTTGACATTACAGAAATGTTTCCCCGCGGTAGCTGTCCACGTCACTTGGAATGAAAACAGATAGATTTGCATAGGTATCTCGCGGATGAATACGAATACGCATACCGCTACTACTAAACTATATACTCATTTCGTACGATAATGAATAATTGACACTCAAGTGGACTTGGCGCGAGCCTTGATTGATATTTAATTGGCGCTAAGCGTCGTTTAATAAGACCGCGGGTAACAATGTCGCGGCGAAGATTGTTTTACATCGACGACACCCTCTGCCGACAGCGAAGATTGATCGCGGTTCTAATTGCGCGGGTCATTGAATAAAAAGGACCCGAGGACACGTGGAAACGGTGGACCACTTGGCGCGAGCGCTTGAGGATTTTCAGGTAGCGGAGCGTGGAATGAAATACCAACGAAATTTACTGCCTCAGAGCTATCCGGACAACCGAGGCGGCGCGCAGAACGCGACGGGGATCTGAGGAACGAGCTGCGTTTAGTCTCGTTGAAACGATGCGACTCCGCGCGCTACCTTCTCGGCACACAAAAGCGGAATATCTCACAGGCGACCTGCATCCCGTCGAGCGCGAAAGGCGGAAGTTTAAGCACGATGCATTAATTTGCGCCAATTAGGACGCCGGCAGTAAACTGCGAGCGTGCACCACTCGCTACGTCGCGCTAATTCGAATCGGATATATATGCGAGTTAATCGTTTTTAATTCCCCGACACGCACCATCGTGCTGCGACGGGTAACACCGGCGAATCAGATTTGTATGCGCGCGCTAAACAATATAATTTGATTTTTGCCCGCATACACGTGAACCCCGACTACTTTTGCAACCTCAGAACGACCGCTCGTCGCAGCATTGACATTGAACGATACCCCCTTTTTTCCCCGATTTTAATCGATCAGACGAGATCCGCGCGCGAGGCACAAAACGCGGACGTGAGTCAATTCAACGGAATAGCCGCAAGAGAGGAGACGCGGAATTAGTAAATAATTGAGGCTAAGATTCTTCCCCGCCCTGTCCTTTTTTTTCCCTGCACCGCCGACGCTTCAGGCACGACAAAGGGCTTTTCACGAAATCTCCGAGGTACGCTTTCTTTGTTAAGCACTCGAGGAGACATCTGTTATTTTCCGAGATTGTATCACTTTCAATGAGCGAAGCGCGTTCGTTTCTCCCTTCGTCGAAAAATAATGGCGACTATCGTATGCTTCTAGAATAAAGAATAAACACGCAAGCTGAAACGGCGCAGACAAGTTCAAACATTGTATAATGCGGCTCCTGCAGCTATACAAAAGCATTTTTGATGAAAAATAATTTAGCGTGCCTTTCATAATGTCCTTTTAAAAATTACCGCTTACGAACGGGACAATATAAGAAACGTTGCAATATGCACAATACATACTCTTCCTTTCTCTTTACCTACCCCGCTGAAATTGCAATATAAATAATTACGAGCGCGCGAAACGGAGGAAATATTAAAACTACAATGTTGAGACTTACGTTTAAGTAAGCTAGTAGCGTCTAACTGCGAATTACTTTCGTTGCACAATGAAGGTGTAGAATGTAATCACAATCGTGAAAAGGAGTTCACTGAGAGCCTCTTTCGCTTTATCTAAAATGTAGCCATCGCACAACTTTCGTCATCAAGCTGTACTACTTGAAATACGAATCAAATGGAACGGGATTGAATAGGCTATCTGTCGCGCGTTAGAAAATCGAAGTTGCGTTAAAAGGCGCCGCGATAATGCCTCCGCGCACTTGCGTTAAACAAACCCGACGCGTTCCGCTTGTAATCGGCAGCTTTTTTTTCGCAATCATAATGAGGTACCCGGGCGTTAACAACGCCATTGTGCCACGCGCAATTTGCAGCTAACCGTAGCTAACCCCGTGCCGCGCGTCCAAGTTATTACATCTATTTCGGTTTATTACACTTTTCTATAGATAGTAGAAGACGGTCTCTCGCAGAAAATTCGCTTCCTCTGTCAGTCCTAGATGGGATATTTCCGCTCTTATTAGATGAAAGAGACGAGACTCTCGTAATCTGATAAATTAGAAGGAAATGCAAACAAAAGCTTTGTTTCAACTGACGAAATGTGTTGCATGAAAATTGATACTTCTCTATCAGAGAAATATTCTAATTGCGAGGATGCATAAGGGCCTGAGCAGAATGGCTGTACTCTTAAAACAATGTTTTGTGTTTTAAATCTTTGAGTTAAAGTAACGCACAATAACTGTCCCGTGACGTAAGAATATAAGACAGCCATTCTGCTCAGGCCCTAAGGTAGAATTTACACGTTTAATTTTGCAAACCG